AAATCGAGATTTTTCAACTTTGGAATTTTTTTTTGTCGAAACTGTTCATTATCGGTGGAAACGGCTTTCATGTCCCTATTTTAACTCTTGATCTACTATCTTTGGTATTTAATGGGAACAGATACAGGGTGATCAGATTTCTGAATCTTGAACCACCCTGTATTTGTTTCAATTAAATGTCGGTAGATATAGTGAATCAAAAGTCGACGTAGGGACATATGTAAGCCGTTTTGACCAATAATGAATAGTTTCGACACAAAAAAATCCTAAAGTTGAAAAATCTCGATTTTGAACACCCTATATCTCGGTAATCATTCTTGCTAGACCCAAAGTGTGATGAATCGATGAAATCAGCTTTTCAGGGAGAATCTATAAAATTCAATGAAATACAGGGCGTTCTATGTGAAATAAGGAAGTTAATAATAATTCCGGAATAACTGAAAAAGTGGCAACATCGACGATAACATTTTCAAATCCACCACGTTTTAAAATCACCCTGTACATATATTCGGAAAAATCTAACAAACGGTTACCTAGATATTCACCTGATGGTTCCATACTTTTGCCCAACCCTGTATATTATGGAAATAATAATTCATGTAGATATTATGTCAATTCTAATTCCTTCTGAACTTTCGAGCATTACCTTAAATTGTAGCTATATTATAAAATGTATGCCAATCCTATGCTAAAAAAAAAAACGTTTTCTACCCATTGGCGTAACTATAGGGAGGCGGGTGGACCGTGCTTGCCCCAAATAGCTCCGGTGTCCACCCCAGAATATTCCGGGAATTTAAAATCTCTAAAACCATAAAATAAATCACATAATGTGGTAAAAATAAATTACGTAAATTAGTGATGTGCAATACTCTATAACTCTGGCAACAGAGGCGTCATTTCAGTGAATACCAGGAGAGGTCAAGAAACTCTGATAACAATCTTGTAATGTGAAAAATGCGCCGCAGGCGGAAATTTTTTGGGGTTCGTCGAATGCCTTCAAATTGAAAATTAGATTTCTTTTATAGAGTGACAACTCTGTTTCAGGTATATGTTTCACCAGGAAAGGGTTCGAGAAACTCAAACTAAAATTGTGTACGGTGAAAATGCGCCACAGGCGAAAATTTTGTTGAAATACGAGGTCGAACATGCCTTAAAATTCAAAATTCAATTTTTACCAGACTGATATCAACAACTCCATCACATTATTTTATCATAAAGTATTCAGTTACATTTTCTCAGTTTGTTATAATTGCTATAAAATAACTGAAAATTAGAAGAATAAAAACGCAAGAAAAAAGTATTTTGGATAATGTCTCTAGGTTACCCGTGCAGGTGGATGTTCCCGAAATTTTTTGGGAACAATAAGGGCTACTGACTCATTTTTTCAATTCACTTCAATTTTTTCATCGTATCCGAGTCAACAACTTTCACTCATAACAGGAAATAAATTTAATCATCAGTCTATTGCAATTTTCAAATTTGAGGAAAATTTGATGCTTCGATCCTCATTCAGGAATATTTTATGTATGCTATACCTATACTATTATACTGAATGATGTTTCAAAAATTTTGAAATGATATATTTTTTTCAATTTCAATTTCTGATACAATACTGATGATGTATATTATGTGGTTGTAGGCGCGGAAGAATCTAAAAAGTGGATTAAATTGTTTGTAGAATAGGGCATCGCCCCCCTAAATTGACGCCCATGCCTGGCAACACTATATTAGTACCTGGTGTAAGTCAACGTACTATTTTTGTTTCAGGACTTGAAGAGAATTTTCAAAGTTTTCTTTTCGAATTGAAAATAATTATTTGAAAGCACGTGGTTGCAGAAAAAAAGAGTTACGAATACTTTCATCGAATGAGGCGAAAATTAATGTATTTCCATGATTCGAAAAACTGTCTATTTTCACATTGTGTGAAGATTTCATCAATTCACTTATTTCATTGCAAATTAAAGAGAAATAACAGTCGAGATTTGACTGTATTGCGTATAATTAAATGAGAATTTTGAGATTTGATTATCATAAATTGTGTCATGAATTGTCATTATTTCTTGACATTCGGAGAATCAATTAAACAGATGGAGTATATATCGAAAGTATTTGTTTTATATGTTGCTATGTAGAAAATGTAATTTTCGAAATCTTTTTTATATTTATTTTATTCCCATAAAGTGAGGATGAGAAGAGTGAGAATTTCATGCTGCATACAATGCATGAAATTTGTGCTCTTATAGTAGAGTAAGCGGTATTTCCAATGTAAATAATATTACGAAAATGTTAATACTGAATGGAGCACAATAAAAAAAAACAAATTTGAAACGTGTTTTCTTCACCAGAATAATTATCACGTTATACCGTGTGGGTATTTGGTATAAGCTTACTAACCGATCTGACCATCAAATCCATCTGAATGCTTATTAATCGCGTTTTACTAGCTTACTAACCGATCTGACCATCAAATCCAGCTAAATGCTTATTAATCGCGTTTTACTAAGTTATTGAATAGTTTTTCGACTGTATATTTATATTATGATATAATATCAGGAGTTCAGTCAATCGGGCTACAAGCAAAACTACTTACTTTATTATTGGTATGCCAAGCTTTCGAAAATCCTTATTTCCTTCTTCAAGGCTAGAAAACAATATGGTATACGAAACATTTAGTAACAATTCAATTGAATTGTAACTACATGTTTCAAATACCATATTGTTTTCTAGCCTTGAAGAAGAAAATAAAGATAAAAAGATAAAGTAGTTTGCTTGTAGCCCGATTGACTGAACTCCCCGATATTTCCAATTATATCATATAACTACTAACTTAGTTATGATTTGATTATTATTCCGAGGTTATGGGTTAGTGGACCTCCACCATATTACAAAAAGAAACGATATTGTATTGGTCATCTTACTTTATGATTCTGGTATGCAACAAATTTCGGTACCAAATCAAGCTGGTGAACTTTAACAAGTATACAGGTTTTTGGAGATGCTGATTCTGAATCTGAAAACAGTTATTCAAAATAAGCCCCGATATCCTTTTTCGGAATGATGGTCTTTTTTGTACCCCTCAACATATTGCACGCCAATGGTGAATGAAACTGTTCACTCTGCTAAATACTTCATTGTTTCAACATACAATAACCACTAGAATTTCAAGAGGATAGCATCATTAATACCTGAGATATCAGGGTGTATTCATGAAAAGCAGGGCACATTGTATAGAGTCAAAAAAAGGAATAAGGTGCTCTATTTGAACTACAAGAAATTTGGTGCTCAAATTTCAAACGGTTCATTCGAGTTACAAATGTTTTCGTGAACTATACATATCTCGAAAACTATGATAGAGATGAATATATTGTTAAATATCACTTACCAAACCGATTTTTCAAACGCCTCGACAAGGGTTTTGCTATGTTAGCATCTTTAGGAAAATACTGAAACTGTCATTAAAAGTTGACATATATTTGATATTGTCTGAACTCAGAATTAGAAGGCCAGTCGAACTGCCTGAAAAAAAATATAGGATTCTATTCAAAAAAAGAAAGTTCCTGCTGACTTATTTTGGCATTCATTCATTTTGGAAATGATTGATCATAACAGCATAATAATTTTCAAAAGTTTTGAATCCAACTGAGAGTTGGAAAACTACTATAATGTGTGGCCTGTAAAAATCACGTTGCATACCTCCATGTTTTGTAGGTACCTAATCGTTTATGTCTTATGAAATGATTATCGAAAAATTTGAATCTTCAATAAAGCAAATTTTAAAACAGATAACAGTCTTATTTTCATTTTTTTTTCTTGATTTTCAAGAAAAGATGTATTCAATTTAATGATTTTTCGAATATTTCCTTAATGGTTCTGGAGGTATCCGAATCACAAATGAAGGTATAAGTTATAAATCCATGTTAGGATAATTCAGTGTACCAGTATTTCAGTTGAAGAAACTACTATAGAGTTAGGTAAATCAATGTCAGATCTATTATTCATTGTGCGAGAAGATATTTCACCTGAAGACGGTATACTATGAGCTACTGGGCTGGTAGTATAATAATTGGCATTCAATTACTGCACTCTGTGCCGATACGGGCCTGAATTAATTTTTGCAGAACTTCTTCTATGCGTTTCTTATATTAAAAAATTGTTATAGAGCCCTATCATTGAATGGAACTAAATCCAAATAAAATATTTGATTTGAACTAATAGAAGGAAGCCGTGATATTATAGTTAATTTGTGACATTATGTGCAATCACCATGTCAAGATATATCTCATACGCCATAACGTAACATCAAGTAAATTTTGGCTATGGAGACTTGACAATGCTGTGCTGAATGCTGAGAACCGACAAGACAACGCCCATGAACCTGTGTTGTCACGTTCCCCGGATCAAATGTCCTCTAGTGTGAATTAATATAAATATTATATTACCACAAATTCATTATAAGCATAAGTACACAGCGGGTGGCCCACGGTCGATGGTACCTTAGACGTATACGGAAAACGGTTCATTGGATTATCCTGAAAATTTGGTTACTCCAATAAGCGTTTGAGATCTAACGATTCAAAATATTTTCAGCGATGCACTTTTACCAAAAAGTAGCATCATCTTTGTTATTTCAAATGGAACACCCTGTATTTCATTGCGTTTTTAGATTCTTCTTGAAGAGCTGATTTCATCAATGTATCACACTTGGGGTCTAGCAGGAATTATTACAGAGATATAGGGTGTTCAAAATCCACTATAGCCCATCAATTTTTTTTTTGAAATCTTATGGTTTGTGAAGATTGAAAATCTTTTTAAAAAATTAAGGAAATACAAACACAACAAGGGTTGAATAAATTTTGATCGATTTTACGCTGAACAATTATTCATCGGCCTGTAAGTTTTCATATTTCAAATTAAATGTCCAGGACTCCCGTTACTGGTTCCGTCAACTTCAGCCAAATTACGATTTAGACACAAAAAACTGAATCCTGAAATATTTATTTTTATTTCGTTTTTCGCTTCCTATACATTTTCTTCCAGTTATTTTCTTCACTGTCATTGTTCTTGTTATCAGGACTAATTCCATTATTTTTATTCCATTCTTTCTTTAATTCTTGCAACATATTGGGAGTGAGTATCCCTTGTGCTAGTAATCTTTCTGTCAATCTTCCTTTCCCCAATGATGCTTTCGGACCTGAAATTCAGAAAGTTAACAAAGTTAGTATTATTGTATAAATTGAACGAAAACTGAATCAAACATATATGTTTTCTAGAACAGTATATTTATCAAGAAAACCTTTTTTGGATGACCAAGCCACCGACACTAAACATCTTGACAAGTACTAATGTTTTCCAGAAATATATCGAATCATTTATTGAGGTTGGAAAGTATTTTTTCTACAAGCGTGCGTGATTCACCCTATACCCGCACGCAATTTAGTTTGAGAAGTGTCATTTTCCCGCAACATTGCGGGAAAAACAAAGATACGATAATATTTATTTATTTTATTTATTTTATTTATTTTATTTATTTTATTTATTTTATTTATTTTATTTATTTTATTTATTTTATTTATTTTATTTATTTTATTTATTTTATTTATTTTATTTATTTTATTTATTTTATTTATTTTATTTATTTTATTTATTTTATTTATTTTATTTATTTTATTTATTTTATTTATTTTATTTATTTTATTTATTTTATTTATTTTATTTATTTTATTTATTTTATTTATTTTATTTATTTTATTTATTTTATTTATTTTATTTATTTTATTTATTTTATTTATTTTATTTATTTTATTTATTTTATTTATTTTATTTATTTTATTTATTTTATTTATTTTATTTATTTTATTTATTTTATTTATTTTATTTATTTTATTTATTTTATTTATTTTATTTATTTTATTTATTTTATTTATTTTATTTATTTTATTTATTTTATTTATTTTATTTATTTTATTTATTTTATTCATTTTATTTATTTTATTTATTTTATTTATTTTATTTATTTTATTTATTTATACTGATTACAAACAGACTGATGAGTTTGTAATTGTTGAAGTGACAGACAGCGTTACTGTCATCTTCGATTCTGTGGAATTGCCACAATGTGATCAAAAAATTCCAGCTATAGGGATGTGATACAGATGCGTTATTGCCAACGAAGTCTTAAGAAAGGTATGAGAAGCTATACACGCGTTTCATTGAATGGTGCAACAATAAAAAAATAAAAATACCGAATAAGGAAGAATTATTTTTGGCTAATTTCCTAGACGTGTCTGAAACTCAGAAACCATACACCTCATGGGCCTGCTGGCTTCCGCAATGAACCTATACATAATGCGTCGAACTGTAAGTTCACAAAAGCTAGGGTCCCTTGATGGAAATTGACAAAGTCTTCTTAACAGGGTACGGACAGATCATAGCTGCATTTTTTTCTAATGATCTAGATACTTTAGTTTTGTCTACTGGCATCCCTGACATTGCTGTCACGTCACATCCATGGGCGCTACAGGAAATCATTCAAAATTTTAATAATAGGTATGTACAGGGTATTTACTTGTTGAGAAAGATCATATGGCGAAAATTCGAGATGACGGATCCAATATATAGCGAAAGAAATTTCTAATTATGATCTGATTCTATTTAAGATTGGTATCTGAGGGTTTTCGGGGTCGAGCTTTATAATTTTTTGTCAAAATTGGTAAATTCAAGATAGCGGATCCAATATGGCGAACGAATTTTGTAATTATGATCCGATTCTATTCAAACAATCAAAATCGGTATCTGGGGATTTCCGAGGTCGGAGATTATAATTATTTCATCAAAATTGGGATATTCAAGATGGCGAATCCAGTATGGTGGACGAGTTTTGTAATGAAGATCCGATCCTATTCAAAATTGATATCTGGGGGTTTTCGGGGTAGGAGATAATGATTGTTTCTTAAAAATTGGAAGCAAGAGTGAAAATAACGTATGCCTATAAGTTATACTGCGTATAATTATCTACTTCTTTGATACTTTCATCAATAAATTATTCGAAAATGACTTGTTATTCAAGGGAGACGGAAAAATCAGGTAAAGTATATTCTATTCTTCATTTTCATACACATTTCACGTATTACTTTTCATCAGCCTACGTTTCGTCCTAGACGAAGTTTTATACATAGTGTGATATTAGAAACTCCATAAATTCTTGAGTTGGATTTCCGAAAATATATTTGCACACATGACATGAGTACAGTAGTTTAGGTACCCATATCGAGTTTTTCACCATTTCTCAATTATAAGTCTCTGCTCATTCAGCTCATAGATTAACTACTGCTCAGCTTGAAATTAGAATTAATTCAGTCAATTCAGTCAACCCTGCTATACAGTCTAAGAATAGTCTCTTTTTGTGAAATATATCAAGCTTTTAGTACAAATTATATGTTCCCTACCTCGCAAAGATTATGCGGGAGTAGTAAACTCTGAAACTAGAGGATTGTTCATTTATATCTTGGTATAGTTGAATCAGGAATTCCATATGAAAATCACGTATTTTACGCCAATGACATCAATATAACCTGAAAAACAACGAATGTCAAAAATCTAGTGTTTATCCCCAGAAATGAGTAAGGATGGAACTATATAACTGTTTCACAAACACTTTAGAGTGAGAGAAGAGTAGGATCTGTCCGTACCCTGTTAAGATGACTTTAACGTCAATTTTCCATCAAGGGACCCTAACAATAGCTATTACTAATTATCAGTAGATAGAGAATATATTCATCTTGTTAGTTGTTCCTATATGAATGAATAATCAATTGAACAAATCAATCAATTTCCAACGCTTGTAGAAAAAATATTGTTCCTAACTCATGCGGAAAGTATCTTTCCCGCACTCGACTGCTTGCCCGAACTCCGCTTCGCGTCGTTCGTGTCAACGGCAGTCGCGTGCGGGAAATAATCACTTTCCGCACTTGTTAGGAAAATTACTATTATCTGTTTGTTTCACGCAATCCCTATTCATTTCATTTTCTCAAGTTTGTGCATTATAGGCGGCAAAAATGTGTCGACAGCACAGAAGATTTCCATAAAGCTAGATATTAACGTTCTCTGTATCAAATATTTCAAAATAAATATTAGTCTTTCAATTAACAAGAAATTCCGTCTCGAAAATTGTACAAAAAATAATTAAAATCCGCATGATTGTGCATTCCACTCGGATTTTGTACGGAGGTGAATACGTGTATGTGTAATGGATATGTGTAGAAAGTGCGGAAAAAGGGGTATTGCACAAAGTTTTCTTTCGATATTTGTATTTTTCGATATTTCTATTCTAACCTTGAACCTACTTCTTGAAGTTTGAGTTATATGTATTCATTATGTCACCCTGTATATAAAGAGGGCTATGAATCTGTGGCTATGAGCTCTCAAACTTGAAAAAACGAAATGATTATTGATGGCCGAAACATTACATGAAAACAAAATATTTCAACTATAAAAAATTATTGGTGTTTCTAGAAAAAAAATTGCATTCAAATAATTTGTTCTTAAAGAACATTAATTTTCTGGGCAACTTTATGGATTTCATCAAAGCGCACGAAATGAAATTCTTTTGTTTGTTAAAAATCTTGCGTACCTAGGAATGATAGGAAAACAAGATCGGCATTGAAATTTTGTGTGTGCTTTTTAGATATGAAGTTGTAGATGTGTAAAGTAACTTTTCACACGGAATAAAACGCCAGGTTTTTGTGTAGCAGCTTTATGAATCTTTTTTTCTCGAAATTATCTTACAACGTTGTGACATTGACCTTCAACATATTTGTTCTATCACTGACGTTGACATCTGTCATAGTTTTACTAAAAGCTAATACACAAAATTTCCTTGGGAAAAAATGTTTTTATGTTCATCAGTGAGAGGAATGAGACATCTGGTATGAATGACTCTGTACTTACATTCATTCATTTGTATTCATTTGCATTCATCGTCCTTGTTTTCCACACAGGAGTTCATATAAAAAAGTTGCATACTCAACTCAGCTATTTGTAACTGATTTCAAATAAAATAAAAAAAATTTAATGACTTAAAAAATACTACAAACAAATTACAAAATGATCTCTGGTAGAAGTCCATGTTTGCTCAAAGTGGAGTGGAATTTTTCAAAAATATGAAGGAAAGCTCAGTCATCTCCACAACTTCAATGATGATGTAGTCAATCAGAGGGACATGTTCCGGACTTATAAAAGTCCATCTTCAGCCGTATTTTAGAAGTTGATGGAGGTGAACATTATAAGTTTTTAAAAATGGATGCCGATGTCTGTCATCATAATATCGTGATTGTTAATGAAGGTATACTGTTTGAGAATAAACGGGTTTTCATTAAAAATGAAGTGAGCGTTCTTAGGGCATGGGGCCCTTAGGTATAATTTTGTAGTCATGTTACTAATATGACCAAAATAACTCACAATTCCATCTTACCTGTTGTTAGAAGAGGAATATTCATTTTCAAATTTCAGACAATTTGCTGTTCAGCTCAAAATTGAATTCACATGATTTTATCTGAACAAGTTATTTCCTAAAGCAATAACGGCTGATGGAGGAGAACTAGGTAAGATGTTTTCTCTCCCATTAGATGTAGTATGATAAATTGTCAGTTTATTGAATTAAATGCCAACTGGTGACATTCGAAATTTTTACAAGTAGTTACTATGTGATTTTAATATATCATTCGTATTAGAATATCGGTTATGATTGTCACATACCTCTCAAATAAGACTGTTTCTGTCTATGCATAGCAAATTCCTCATCATCAGCTATGGCTGTTCCTGAGCTGATAACTGTCTCAGAATTTTTCAACAGCCTGGTGAGTTGTACGATTCCTTGTTGGATGATCTGGTCTAACTCTCGCTGCATGTCTCTCACAAGGTGTGCTTCATTGAACAAATCCATGAAACGGTAGCTATACAGAAATCATGTTAAATGGCAGAGTAATTGAAGCTTAACGCAAGGAAACTCCAATTACATCAATTATTCCGAATAAATAGTACATTGTTTTATAAGGATCAAAGGTAACACTTTGTTTGACGAGCGATATTTTCGTTTACGTGGCGGAGCGACAAAGCCGAGCACGCAAATTTCGCGAGTCAAATAGAGTCACTTTTGATCCGAATGGAACATGCTATTTTTTCTGCAATCGAAATAATTGATACCTGATTGATAAAATATAAGTGAAAATACCACTACACTTGGGCATGTCAGTGTCAGAGCAGCTATCATATCAGCTGTCATTCGACACGTTTTCAGTTCCTAGGAGTTAAACTCCAACTTTAGCTCCTAGGCACTAGAAGTGTTGCCTAGCAACATACACACTAATCATTTCATTGTGTCAGTAAGAGCTAATTTTGGAACAAAAATGGACGACTTTTGAGCCGATTGCGGAAAAACAAATATTTTTCGATAATAATGTACACTATATGTATAAGTTTTACTCAGTAACCAAATTCAGCCAATTACTAAAATGCATGACCACGACAGATCAATAGTAATATAAACAACTTCATATTGAAACTTCATAACACTATCACTGAATAAGGGTTAAGTACCTAAAATGATCTTAAGGTCAATTGAAATCGAAATATTTTGGAGTCAAAAATCAACTATACTTTTTACAATTACTCAAGGACCACCCTATATTAATTGAATATTTCACAACGGCGTAATTTTTCCCAGTATATTCCGGAAAATATATAATTCCCCGATTAGACCAGAAAATAAATAAATTTTGGATTTTACATCTTCCTTATTATGTAAGAAACTGAAAACGATATGACAACTATGTTAATGTATAATACATTACTTTCAAGGCAGGAATTTTTTGTTATTGAAATTACTGATACTTATCACATGAAAAACGCGGAACATTGCGTGACAATTCTATAGCGCTATCAATCCAAAGTATTTTATACTGGTATATGATCCGACCTATGTATTGCCGAAACTTGGAGTGCCAATAATTTCCTTTGATTTTTGTGGGGCGGCCGACTCGGTGCGTTTGTCGGCGATAGGGCTGCCAAGCCGTCCTTTGTCGCCCTAACAACACAAGTACATCCTAGGGACTTCCCAGGGACGTCCCTAATTTTATACAAGGACATCCCAGAGATATCCTTTGTCGGGACAGAGTACATACTAGGGACGTCCCAGGGACATCAGCTGGCTGACAAAAAAAGCATCCAAGGGATTTCCGTCTGGTACGTCCCTGAGATGTACCAAGTACGAAGAAAGGATATCCCTAGGAGGTCCCAAGGATATTGCAGGGACATCCCTTCGAAAAAAAAAATGTAGGTCGAGTAGGGCTTGAACCCGGGACCTTTAGCTTTTTCAGGCACGCACCTTATTACTCCATTGGCTGATATGCCTTCTGAAGATTTATGTACCAAACAGATTTTTAAACAGGACCAAACTGCAGAAACCTGAATAAATACAACTTTGTTAGGATTTGGGTATAATTATTATCATTCGTGGATGTTTAAAAATGAGGGGCATTATGCATTTACGATTTCTGTTTGCGAAAAATGGTCATTTCTTGAGAAGTTCTGACTTTTTTTATTTTCATTACAATTATTTACCGGAAACAAACCAAACATTTTCATAAAAATTCAACTCAATATTTTGATGAAAGTCATTGACTCTGATGTGAATAGATATCAGATATACCAAGGACACGAATTGGATAATCTATGGATGTGCGGGACATTCCCTGGATACCCCAATTATGTCCTTGTACCGTGTGACAAAGAGGGGAAGTACCTATAGTACATCCCTGTGTTGTTAGGGCGGAGATTCTGAGCGTTCCGTGTAGTATGTACTCCGTTGTTCTGGAGCGGCAAAATCGAATCTACTCAGAAAAAGTTACTGGTATCACAAAATATCAACGCCGATTTCATGATTATATTATATCGTGGCATATAGACTGGAAATGTAGCTGTTTTCTGTTGATTTTGTTTTTATTATTTGTATTTATTTTATAATTCATATTTTTCAACAACTAGATACTGTGAAAAATGGTTCATAAGCTTGCAGCATCAACTCTTGTAATCCAATAAATAAATGAAGTCTATATATGTTGCAATAGTTATGACTCACTCTGTATATCATGCTTTATTTCATTTTTATAGTGAACCATTAACAATCAAAGATTCAAAGATATCTGACTATTTATTTTCCATCTACTGATGAGACTCTAAGAAATTATCACATTCAGATTGATTATATTATCAATATTTTGTAAAAAAAATAATCAACGAAAAAGGCGTGAGATGTTTTTCCAGATAATATACAAATTATATTGGTCTAAAGTCTAGGCAAAGTATGACAAGTTATTCACAAGGGAATTTAAAAAAACGCCACGGAGTAGGATAGTATAGGAACCCAACTGAGTGAGAGATCATAATATGTTCTTCTCTCTTCCGCAAGGAACCGAGGAAAAAATCAATACTGTACACCGACCGTAGCAAACATTTTTTTATCGGAACCGGTCGGGCGGGTCGGGTCTTATCGTAGAAGACAAGGATAAACAAAAATTTCTGGAGCGATAGCACACGGTGGGATGGGATCTGTAATTCTGTACAAAAGTGTAGTAATCTGTACAATTAGTTCAGATATGTTCTGTGTGCCTAGTGGAGTCGCTACCTCACAGTGGCTAAACGCTAGACGAGGGGATGAGAGGGGCATCGACTGGCAAATAACACAGGTTGGGCATCTTCCCAGCGTAAGCGTAATATATCAATCAACGGTCCGAGGAACAATGTGTGTTCCTAGGCAGAAAAGCAAGAGAAGATAGGTATTGGAATCGTTTTCGACTTTTGTAGGTTATGATTCATTGGGAATACTTCCTCTGGCTAAGAATGGGGTAGGTTGTACAGTCATTCATTTTTTTCAAATAATCACAAATATTTTTGTTCAATAACTACTCAAAATATCAGAATAATCACTCTGGATGATGTAATATACCGATAAGCACCATAGTGTCTTATTGTTCAACAACTAATGAAAAATAAGTCCATATAGAAATAGGAATGTACTTCCATTTTTAAATGGAATCACAATCTTACAGATAATTTTAGTAATCTCACATTAGCCACCGACATTCACTTATAATTATCTATACAGCTAATGTCTCAAGACAAAAGCCCATCCATTAAGAAGATTGAATTGGAATCCATGAAATATACGCATTTATGATGTGATGTCGGAACGTGATGCGTTCTGATTGAAACTGAACATTGATAGTGAATACACTCTTTCTTCAATCATGATTGATATAGATCTTATGCTTATTAGTGACATAATGCCCACTCCAAGCAAGAAATGACAAAATTCGTTTTTGATGTTTGTTACACACACATCAATTATATATCAAGAAATGAAGGATGAAATATAAAGGAACTCACCTTAGCCATAAATACAGATCCAACACATCAAATACTGCTTCTAAATGAACCAAGTCAATAATAGTTCTGGGAGGTTGTAAGGGCCATCCGATATTTCGACATAACCAGTCAAACGTTATAAGTTCATTCTTACTATACTGTCGAGCAAACTGAAAATATATAAATACTGTCTGTAGGTTAATCAAGGAGGTGGTACTTTCATTATTCCAGATTTTTTGAGGTTTTCTCTCCTCGTTTCTATAAAATAAAGATATGAATATTATTTCAATATATGTGTAGTCAGGGCAAATCAGATGATTTGCCCCAAAATTTCACTGCGTTTAAAAAATTTTCCTATCAGAGACCTCAAAAGAAAAATTCACTAGCTTGTCAGTGAAAATTTGTATTGAAAAAAGTCTGTAGAAGAGAAATAAAGGTATATAGAAAAAATATCAAATTTTCACTTAGCTTTGGACGTTTCGGAAACGAATCTGCTCCCATTTTCAATATAAAAAATGGATTGTTTTGTATCGCAAATTCGTATTTGTCCTGACACTTTTCAAATCTCAGTGACAATTGGTGACGTTGGCAATCAAATGATTTACAATGCTATTGTCTCCGTTCAGAAGAATGCAAAGAGATTCCTCGATTTTTCTCTTCTGGTTGTTATCTTCTTTTCCAAAGATTTTAATCTTTTCTTTATATTGTATTCATGAAACGAGTGTATATCGTAAAAAGACCCATACTAACGGATACCTAAACTTTCAATCAAATTATCAGAAAAGTATTAAGGAAGGGATAATCAAATCACTCCATGATAGAGCCAAATCAATATCATCTGACCAACAAATTTTCAATAACGAAGTCCACCACATTAAAAATGTTCTCCAACTCATCTCCTATCCAAAGAATTTTGTCGATAAGGTGATTCATCAAATTGAAAACAAACAATAAGGTCCACCACAACAAAATCAACCATCAATAACGACAAATATAATACCATACATTCCCGGCATATCTGAAAGAATAAAACGTGTTGGTGATAAATTTCAAGTGGAAACTGTGTTCAATACCTCTTTCAGTAAGGACGAAGGAACATAAATACAACATGAACATATCCTTACTGGAGATGGACAACATATGGCAGAGTGGAATAATATTAAAATCATTGGAAAAGAAGATAATAACCAGAAGAGGAAAATCAAGGAATCTACTTGCATTCTTTTGAACGAAAACAATAGCATTCCTGTTCAGTTGATATAGATAAAACATGTTATTCACTATTGAAATCTGAAAATGGTAAATTCAAGATCAATCAACGGAAACATCCTGTAACTCATTTGATTGCCAACGTCACCAATTGTTACTGAGAACTGAAAAGTGACAGGACAAATACGAATTTGCGATACAAAAAATCCATTTTGTATGTTGGATACGGCAGCAGATTCGTAGCCGCAACGTCCAAAGCTAAGTAAAAATTTGATTTTTTTTTCTATATACCTTCATCACTCTTCTCCAAAACTTTTTCTATACGAATTGTCACTGGCAAGCTAGTGAATTTTTCATTTAGGCTCTCTGATAGGAAAATTCTTCAAAAGCAGTGACATTTTGGGGCAAATCATCTGATTTGTCCTTACTACACGGATATTGAGATAAAATTCATATTTTTATTTGATATAAAAGAGGAGAGAAAATCCCAAAAAATCTGGGATAATGAATGAAAATATATAAATATATAGAATTTATCTGCAGCCATCTAATAAGGACACAAATCATTAGGCAACAACACATGAATTTACAGAATCGAATTGACACATTGAATGAATATACTTATTGGGCTTATTTGTCAATTGTTTCGTAAGTGATGATAATAGATTTAAGACTGATATACTCAGAGACAGGTTATTACCTCATGACTATTCAAGTACTCATGATTGTGACATGCCTGCTTGCTGCATCTGATATCGATTTCACAATACGATAGTCATATGAACCATATGAAAGAGTTGATCCAACTTTTTCCTATTTATAAAATCATGTTTCAAACATTCGTATGGGCTGACGTCGGTAGATCTTGAAAAGTTATGAGGCTGCTTGTCTCTGTCATCAATTTTTTTATTGTTGGAACTTTTCAGAAATATATCCAAATATATTTATCCCCAAAGATACTGTATGAAAAATAAAGCATGAAGCACAGAAATGTATTAGTCAGAAACAGCTAGCCACAGATTTGTTATTACTCAAATTCTGTATTCCGATAATCTGGTATTTGAAAGTGAGGATTGAATAAACGTTCCATATCTTTAATAATAATAGTAATTTACGTAACAAGTCCGGAAAACACTGTCTTTTGGACGTATTGAGTACACCATTTTTTCGGCAACCATGTAATATAACGAATCATTGAGACACATTTCAATATTATATTTCTTTGTAGAATAAAATTTCGAACATATCAATTCTTATGTGTATCAAATACTGAAATTTGAACAAAATACCTATACCTACTAACAGCTACATTAGAAATTTCGTATGGACATTTTCAAACTCACTATCTATGCTGCTTTCGATAGTTTATTGCGATAATTGCAACCAAACTTTGAAAAATCAAAATATCAACTAATTTCAAATAGCTGTCCGCCGTTATTTCGTCGCTATGGTAATGATCATCTGGTTTTATCAAAACCATATTTACCAAGATTTTCATAGTTACAGTCATGTTACAGTGACAACGAAGCGATACTAAATATTTACCTTCAAGAACATTGTACAAACGAAAGGCATTTTCTTATTGATGGGAGCACAGCAAAACAGATATCTGCCTCTGAGAGGTAATGGAACATGCTGAATCATGTCTGCCAAAAATTTGAAATCTTCGGTTTGACACATGAAATATAATGAATCATCCACTGTCGACAAATTCACAAAAATATCCTGTTGGAAGAAGAAAATACTTGTTAAAACCAGACAAGATATACAACTAGTATTATAAAATGAGAAAGGTGATCGGAAAACATAAAGGGTGTGCTAGTTCATATCTTCCAGGAATTATTAATGAAAACAAATAATCATCTTTGGGGAGAAACTAATCGAATATAGAGAACTACTTGAATAATTCATAGTGTTTAGTCCGTTACTTATTGACTTAAATACTCCGATAAAAATGTTTCCCTACAAACTATTGTTTAACCAATGATAGAAAATTACCGGTATAATGAAGTAGGAAAATAACAAATCAAGGCTCATACCATAGTCGAACAATTACTAGTGTTCAGTTTTGAATCATATCAAAAAATTTATAGCCAAATATGGAAGTTTCTGTTTTGATTTCAAGAAGTTGAGGTTATTGGCTATTCATCTGTACCCTCTTGCTGACTGTTCGCCTCAATCACCGTTGTCGTCTCGGCGATTCTAAATGTCAGAATTTTATCGTTTTTCACATTGATCAGGCGTGTTTTTTCTTAAGGATATTATGCAACACGTCAGAAAGATATTTCGATCATGTGAATCTGTGACAAGAATGACAATTACATAAAACCAAAACTAGATGATAAAAAATGTCGCTATATCACGAAAAAAAGTCGCTCACTAGCGACTGCTGGCGACTTTGTCTATGAATTCGACATTCCATTTACAGCATCTCGCAAATTGTTTACGTGTCAGTTGCTAGTCGGATCGTGGTATTAGTACGCTCATAACGCTTGAGAATAAAATACCAAATTTCTTGCGAATTACAATATGTTCACTTTCAAAGGGAAAAAATACTTAGATTTTCAAGTGGTATTTGTTACATCATTTATTGCAGCAAATAAATTTTTGATGGAACGACGTGTTTCAACTGATGAGACAGACAATGACACATATGCTAACTCATCACTTAATAACATTTTTATATCCATACTGACTGAGCAGTGAGCTTGCCTCTTGCTAAAAGCGGAGACGCATTTTAGTTACTTTGTGGGGACGATTCAATCTAGTGTAGTCCAGTTGGATTGATTGATTGATTTATAGCAAAATGACCAGTCACTTGTCTAATCTGACTTCTGTTTAGGCTCAGAATGTCGTTAGTCACTGTTCTGGACAGTGTTCTAACCATCAGTTTTCTGTCTTTGTCCTGGAACGTTGTTCCAGTATGCCTAATTGCGTCCATCTTGCCAGCCAGTCGCTTATTGAGGTTTTGGGGATTCCGAACAAAGGTTCCGGTCCCATAAACAAAGCCGCAGACCCTTGCCTCGCAAGAGCGTTGGCTGCTTCATTGCCTTCAATTCCCTATGCCTTGATGCGTTACCGTGTTGTGGTTAGCCAGGGTTAGCAGGCTTTGGAGGCAATCCCAGACCAGTCTTGATCTGATTTTATTGCATGTTAAAGATTGGATGGCCGCCTGACTATCTGAGCATATGAGGATTTGTTTACCTCTGTATCCTCTCACGATATTCTCACTCAGACATGCCTCAATACCATGCAACTCTGCCTGGAATACTGAAGCATACCTCCCGAAGGAAGCACAAACCCTGTGTTGGGTCTATCTCCATATATCCCGGCTTCTGTACCCTCATCAGTCATAGACCCGTCAGCGTAACACACTAACGTGCCTTCCTGACAGTCAAGACCATTTCATCTGAGTAGAGTCAAGGTTTGAAGGGTCTGTAATAGTTATTTCTGTGCAGCATTTCGTCACTTCCCATTTCCATTAGTGGGCTGATTATTTTGGTATGTTCTAGGGAGTCGATACACTCCAGTCTGTGTGCCCCCATCCTCGCTTTCGCCTTGATGAAGATATCAAGAGGCGAAATATTGAGTAAGGGTTCCATAGCAGTGGTAGGAGTGTTCCTTTCTGCACCAGCCCTCTACTATCTTCAGGGCTAGCTGCATCAAGTCTAAAACTATTTCAGGATGCTGCCCCTCTACAAGAATGACGACATCATCTACATACCCCTGTGAGTAGATTCCCACATTGCTTAGTTTTTCTAGAAGTTTTGACAATAACCAGACCTCACAGCAGGGGAGAAAGAACTCCTCCCTATGGGCAACCCCTAGAAATTGTCATCTCCATGGTTTCTCCAAGCAATGAAGATTCCGCTCTTCTGTTGTGTAGCATGTGTTTCATTCACCGACATGTAGTGTTTTTCACTCCACGCTCAACAACCGCTGCTAGCATAGATATAAAGGGTGTATGATGAAATCCTCCTTCAATATCCAGGAAAGCTGCAAGAGCTTTGTTCTTGTTGCTTATTGCGGCTTCAGTTAATGAAGTGTCGTTTCACAGGATTTGCCGATTGATAAGCATGCTGGTTTTTATGTAGTGGCCTTTCATTGAGAAAGTTTTCCCGGGTATTCGTTTCAATTAGCTTATCCACCACCTTCAACATGAATGGTGATAAGTATCTGTTATATTTTGAGCTGGTCGGCGATTCTAGGATATCTCGTTCTAGTGCATTGAAAATCCCGAGGGGAAATCCTATAGGCCTACAAATTTTTTAAGTATCTATATCAACAACTAAATTTATCAAGGACTTTTCCTCACAATTTAGTATTAGTAATACATGGTCTCTATGAATGATCGTAGCATCGTAGTGACTGTTGTAATATTTTGTTGATTTGCCACTTTTTACTTATGGAGTTCGAACTATGACACATTCGGTCGCATCGATGCTTGTGAATGTACAAGCATCGATGCTGTACTCTACAGGTTGTTAACATCAGCATTATTTCAACGGCAACTACGATGTTACGATCATTTATAGAAAAGAAACCCTTTATAATGCTCTATTCCTTTGTAGAATCTACTCAAAATGTGAAATGTGATATAATATATGTATATCAACTATTTTGAACCATATATCTCTAATGCAATTTTTTTTAAACATCTTCAAAATTATTTTCGAATCAATGTGAGTCTACATATTTCAAGAGTGGCGGAATGGAAATGGTCAATGAATTAGCACATACTGAATATTTCCGAAGATCTACCACCTAATAGTTGAAACGAGAGTCAAAATCATTACCATTAGATTACTCAAGCTGGAGTTAGGTAAATGATAAGCATACAGTTCAATCTGTTCGGCAGTAGGATGTAAACCCGCTTGTGTCAAAGGAGGGGGTTTTGATGACAAAAGAGTTTTTAAGGTACTCAAATCTTCCGCTTTGAATGTTGTTACTGACCCCTTTTCCCACTGAGTACCGTATCTGAAAAACATTGAAGCAAATAACTAAGTTAATGGAAAAATCGGGACAGTCGTGAAAATATTTTCGATATTCGACCTACCTTCCTGCTCTCCCAGCTATCTGCAATGCAGATGAAACTGAGATCGTATCCATTTCTCTTTCTCCCTTCTCATTCAACGCTGGTTTGATTAATGAATAAAATATCACTCTCCGAATACTCCTGAAATATAATAGATATTAATGTGATATTCCGAAGGCGGTTAACAGGCGGAATTTATACCCACAATGCACAGTTATAATCTACTCAGAAGTTGTTGTGGAGATATCAAGTTGTTAGTATGATATTGACAATATAATTCTCTTCTGCTGTAACTATAAATGAGCCACCAAATATTTGGATTTTCCTTGCCGAGATGAATAAAAAAATGTATCACAAGTTGTTTCATTGGTAAAGGGTGAGCAAAAATGCAGAAGTTGTTCCTGACAATTCAATGGAATGACAAAAGAATTGAGGTAATAGACAAATTATACTACCAAAAGAAAACAAGGCTACATACCGAATTCAACTGAGAGTACTGAATTTGCTGATTCTTTATTCCGAAATCAATAAAATTCACTGAAAGTATACTATTTATTGAAAATATTTCGACTCAACATTCTATTGCATTGCTGACTATCGCAAGGTAGTGTGGTTTCAGCGAGGGTTTCAGTGAACTGTCCTCATTTTAGAGGAAGAAGGAATGTCAAATTTATTTCCGTTGTTTAAATAATAAATTAATATCATATTTGATATCAGAAAATGCCTGTTATTGAAATAATTGACGCTGAGAATAATATTCAAATTTGACCAGCTGATCAACTGCTGCTGATTACTGTTGAGAACCATGATAACGTGTTCCGAATAACAGCACAATATTTTTGATTTTATATTTAGAAACACAGATTTTCAGCAGAGTCTGTGGATTTACTGACAGTACTGATTAGTTGAATTTGGAATATAGCCAAAAAGAAATTTACAAAATGTTTGTTTTTGGCAGTACATCACAGTATACCATAACTTTGTGATACGATGTATAACATGTTTGTTACGTTGATTTTTCTCTCATTTTTTCGTAACAAAATTTTTGTAACAAAATTTTCATGAACAAGTTTCGTATTTTCGCTCACTCTGTACCAATTTGAAGTAACATGTGATAATCTTCGGAATATCAGATCGGCAAGAAATATTCGGAAATTGAAAAAATGAGTGTTACAATAAAAAAAGCTACTGAAGATATCATCACACAAATTTAGCTTTCCCTGTATATTAGATTATTATTTTTACGTGTATGCGGCCAAAGACGCCCAAAGATGAAATCCTAGAGTATAGTGACTGACTTTTCATCAATAAAATGTTTGCGACCAGAGAGCATCGCAAACATATACAAATTGTTTATCGAATCGTTACAATAACGATGATTGAGAAGGATGGATTTGGCTACAGTTGGGGGCATAATGAATTTCAGTTTTAATTCTGTTCAAATATTCCAGCGGAGAGTAGCGAAAACGTACGATAGAAAAGAGTCAAACTCTGAGTGGTACACTTGGTGTGTGGCCAACTATATAGAGTATATCATAATATATGGGACGCACTTTAAGAGGTGATAAAGTGTCTAAAAAAATAGAAGAAGTCTCTATGAACATAATATGTTATGTCACGAAAGAATTCGTTAGCGAGCTATACGGGCGTTAACGTTAACTTATCATGAAAGCAATGTTTTCCTGCAAATTCTCACAGAAACACATCCTAAGGGTGCCACTAGAACACAAATTTACTAAATAATGATATCCATTCGATCACTCTCATATACTTAGTGACTCACCTGAACATCAGAAATGTTCGTTGAGCGGTCCTCTAGCGGTTCAACGAACATTCATTTCTTTTTTTATCTAAACTCCGAGTAGTCGATGTAGCCAAGGTTATCATCTGACGTTGCGATGACATAAAAACTATAGGAAAACATGCCTAACTTTCAATCTAAGTCAGGAGTTAGGAATGTTTTCCCGAAGTTATCATGTCATCGCAACGTCAGATGGTGACCTTGGCTACTGCGAATCTCGCTAACGAAGGTTCAAAGGAACTTTTCTGAGTCGTTTTTAGATGTATGACAAATTGATATTCATCATACAGGACGTGAAAAGATTAGGGGTCTATAAAAATAACAAGTTTCCATCGTGCAAGTTTGAACCCCTTGATTGGGTGAAAGTATTGAAAAGGAATATTCTCAGATAAATTATAAGACGCCTCTAGGAGTGCTTCCCACATATTATGAAATACCATGTGATTCAAGTTTCATGTCTAGTAAGTTTTATAATATTTGCATTCGTTCATTATTGATTTACATATTTACTTACAGATTTAGGCCCATTCCTATAGCATCAGTGGCAACCAATATTTTGCAACTGTTATCAGGATCATTAAATTTTGCTGCCTGTGCTAATTTAGTTCCAGGTGGTAAACCACCATATATCACAGCCACTTCTTTCCCAGTAGCTTCAATACCCCTTGAAACAGAGTAAATATCATTCTTGCTAAAACAGACAATGCAGTCCCCAGGAAGAACATTTTCCAATGATCCTATAAGAAAATAATTGCATTTGGTATTATTGTCATCGTTATCAAAATTGATAGTATATGAACATTTGTGATATTTTGGTATTAGAGTAACATCTTCAAAACGTAAACAAATCAAGAAGCATTGAATTAGCATAGCATTCGCCCACGTAGGAGGCCGCGATAGAAAATCATCGTTTGAAGACATCTCTACTACTTATAATTCCACCATGTACTACTTCAGTCAATGAACGCCCAATTAGGGGGTGTAGAGGTAGATAAAAAACACATTTTTACAAAATGAAATCGTTTACGATATGTACGGTTTCAAAGTTTGATATATGTCTTGTATTTTTTAAGTTTTCTGAAACATTTTTCGAAATAATGAATTGAAATTTGGTACACCTGGTACACTTTGGAAACGCAATATAAAGGGCTATCGAGCGTTCTTGAATACCAACAGGATGACACACTTTTGGGGTGGTTTATGGCATATTATGCTGTATATGTAAATAGTTTGTTTCACTTGCAATGGAAGCACTGCTCTATCTTTCGTAATTGTCGAGTAAGGATTCTGCAGGGGCGGTAGATATATCGAAAATACACAAACTATGACTGGAGTCACTGGATGGTATTATTTAGATAAACTATGACCAAGTGGAGCCATCTTTGGTTATATTCACTGCTCGCCACCAACCATGGAACCACCCACATATCCGGGAAATAGTATTAGAAGGAAGGATTGAAATATTTTCGGATTCGAAAATGTTTCAGTTCTGAAAAATCAAATTTACATGATTCGCTAGCGAATATCTCTATAACTATGAAAGTTAAAAAAAAAGCCTACTGATATAATTTTGTAGACAATTTTATCAGCTAAAATTCTCTATAGTTTGCTGTGACGTACCGTTCTTGAGATATGAACGAAAAAAAAGGACCTTCCACGTCGGCCCCTGCACTTGGCTCACCTTGTAAGTTCGGGGACTTTTGGAATTTTTAGAGCCTGGCCATCCTAGCTGGACTCTGAGATTGGATGCGCAGTAAACCAGTCGGCAGAGTGGGACGAGAGCTCATTTTTGTCGTGGAAATGGTTCAGTGAACATCGGTAAGAACAGCACAGTGCGATTTTACTTCCCAATGAACACGTTAACTGCCCACAATACATTTGAAGTTTTGGTCCCTGGGGCCCAAACACGAAACTTAATGTGAATAGATTATCTGGTTTTACTTATATAATTCATGTATGATACTTATCATAAAAATAGAAATAATCGAAGAAAAAGTGATTTGAAAATGAAACCCAACGTTTGGGTTTCGGAACCAGTTCCAGGCCACGAAACCCATATGAGGGTTTCATGCAAAACAAGGCCCCGTTATGCGCAGTCAAGGTTATTATTGTTTACACTTGATGAATAGCAGAAAGAATGAAGAAAAGTAGCACAACTGAGGATGCCAAAATCAAGACACAAATGTCAACAGTGTGAGCATTTATTTGTTTGCCATGTTTTATTGAAGGACACATATCATATCATTCATATCCGCAAAAGTAAAGCAAAAATACGTAGGCTCATTCACTATTTAGGTCTACCAGGCCCCTCGTAATTTCGCTCTACATGCTTTAATGCTTTCTGGAACCCACTCGTCGAACTTCATTGAATGAAGTGCAAATGTATCGTGAGAGCCAGCGTTAGGGTTTCGGAGCCGATTCTACCAAGCATTTGAAACCCAACGTTTGGGCTTCTTGGCAGTTAACGTGTTTTAAAAGGACTCATGGATCTTTGTCGCACACTAACCATCTCTGTTTATCGTTTGTGCATCAAAAAGGGGCCAAGATAGAATGGTCAAACCTTACTTCCCATCTACTCCAAACACATACCTAGTGTCAAAAAACTGTCCTCTTCCATGTCCTCTACAACCCGTTCATTGACTGAACTATACTTCAACGTCGGGAATTTCATTCTAATGTTGGAGAAATATGTAATATTTGTTAGGTAGGATAGTAAATCACAAGCAGAATATAACCGTTTCTGAATAAACAGGGTGTTTTCAGAGATGAGGCAATTTTTCAACACTCATCCAGATCAACTATTCCACTAGGAATCGCCTATGCATTATAATTAATCCTACATATAATTCGAACTTCATGAAGGCTCTAGGCAGTGGCGTAGCCAAGGGAGGGACAGGACACCCTGATCCCCTTACAAATTACAGGTTATGAGAAAGTAATCTAAGTAGATTAAAAAATTACCAAATTGTACGTAGGCACATTAGGAAATATATACAACGCTGGCAGCATTGGCGACAATAGTTATTATTGCACAACGTTATAAAGTAAAAGATTCTCCCCCTCCCCACTCTCACTTTGTACGTACGCATTCTATCGTAAACTGCAAGTTGCGCAGGCATACCAGAAGAAGAAGAGAGTACACCACGTTTTAAGCCCTAATAAGTATTCATCTTAAAATTCAAATCGATACTAATGAAATGATTGATATCGTAACGTTATTCGGGTTCTGAAGCGAACACGACACTATTCATCTTCGAACTGATTTATTTTCACTAAAGGAACACTAATTTACATCGAACTTATAACTACTATTTATGTAAAATGATTTATATCGCGTGGTATATGACGGTCTCTCTGACACTCGCTGCTTGACTGACTGACGGCAGTTGTCCGGCCGTCCATATATATATGGGATCCCTTGGTAGGCTTTGCTTCTCGAACGTTCTCGAATGATCTTCCGTACCCTTCTTTTTGTTCTAGAAGCATCTTAGAACAATACTTCTCTCTCTAATTGTTCCATCGATTGTTTCCAGAACATTCCAGAATCTTCTGTCACGTTATTTGTCACCGCGACATATATTGAGTGTTCGGAAATGGGCTGGTACATGTAAGAATCATTGGGATGTTGGATAACAATCTGGGATACGTGTTACAGGATGATCGTTGTACTCCTGCCTTCCTACTGATGTTTCTAGATCCCCTCTGAGGGGAATATCATTACAATATATTTCGACAAACCAATCGACGAATTACACTTTAGTTTTATAGACCAGAATATATAATTATCTGCTATTTCATTAGGATTTTCTTTCTTTTCATTCGATTTCCTATTATTGTTTTTTTAATTAATAAGCCTAGATTTGCTCATTCATTATTTTTTTAATTTTTCCCAACAAATCACTTCAGGTATGTGCCCCTCCCCTGAAATATATTTCTGGCTGGGCCACACTGGCTCTAGGTGTACTATCAAATAACAACATTAAAAAGATGCGTCACCTTTGAAAACACCCTGTATGAATATAACTTCCAGCTCTCACTAGTAAAATTTCGACTATCTGATTTTAGGCTTCAATCATAAGATATTACACTGATACCAAATATTCTTTTCTTTACGAACCTACGGCAGTATCTTCAACTTTTAACGCAGTCAGTCTTTTATAGTTACGAACCTCTAAGTCTTCACCGGTTGTCAAACATATTTGTCTGATCAAATCTACGGCCCCAGGTTCACCGCAAAGGTGAATTTCCTCGGCTGTGGTGCCCAAAAGGGCTCTAGTCCAAGCCCAACCACGTTGGGGGTCCTTGATCATTTGTATTTCATCAATAACTGCCACTTCATCTGATGGTAAATGATCACAACATGAAGTTGATGATAAATAAGAGATGAATGACATTAATTAAAACTGTGAATTCTCAATGGTGATCAATAAATAATTTGCTGAACCGATTTTTGTAGACTGTATTACTTGTTAAATAACATTCAGTAGAATGCATGAAGGTTGACATTTTTATGTTTTATGCCACAAATGAAAATTTTCACAAATATATAGTTTATACAGGGTGATTCGATGTAAATATTTCAAGGACATATTGTTGGGATCAAAACAAGACTTTTTCTTCATATGAACATGTGTCTCAAAATTCACCCCCTCCAAGCTACAGCCACTGTAAATTAGGTAAAGAAAAAAGATATTCTGAAATTGTGACTAAAATAACGGATCAAATCTTTTGAAAATTGGCATGCCCCTCTCCTTTCAGACACTTTATTTTATTATTTCTTTGAAAAATATATGTTTGAGTTTTGAGGGAGATTGTAGGGGGGTCCTCACTTTCATTGGCCGAAATGGGGTGCATTTTAGGACATAATATGTTTATATGAACAAAAAAAGTTGTATCGCTGAATTGCTGCCCTCGCTCGTTGATTTTTTTTTATTTTGTTGGTAAAAGTGCATTCATCATGCGATGGGGTTTTTTTCGAAAAATTTTTTTGGTACTTACGTATTTTCGTCTGAAAAACACGAATTTCATAATGAAAATGTGAACAAACCATTATTTATTAAGATATTTCACTATAAAGTTACAAATTTCACCATCTTTTCCGCCGTCTTCTGGATCACATTTAGAACAATTTGCCCTTCTCTTTCCATCATTGGACAATTTATATATATCACACAATGTTGGACACATTTTTTTTATTATATGAGTCAACTAGAAATATGATTTTCTTGTGACTTATCCATGTTTAGTAAAAAGAAGGAAGAATATCATTTGAAATAATGGCGTGTGTAATGTCATTCCAAAGCAATCTATTGACATTTGACATCTCGTATTTGGATTGCATATGGATTAAATGGCCGTCATCTGGTATGCTTGCTTACTGAATAGGAAAAACTCGCCATAAAAATCATATTTCCTGTTGAATTTTCTATCTTAAAATGTGTCAGTGCAGTACATCATGAGTATATAATGTTTCCAATGACAAAATAATAAGAGCAAGTACCTGTGAAAGCATCCAACACAAGGGGGAGAAGAAGGCAAAATTTCGAACTTTTTCTTGAAATATCTCGATAAATAGTGGTTTGTTCACATTTTCATTATAAAATTCGTGTTTTTCAGACGAAAATACGTAAGTACCAAAAAAAATTTTCGAAAAAAACCCATCGCATGATAAGTGCACTTCTACCATTTTGTTGTTGTTGGGATATTACAATTGATATAATCAATATAATTACAATTACAATATATACAAATACAAATATATGTCTGAATTATTATTCACCCTCATTAATATAGCGAGTATATTGAATAATCCTTCTCAAAGTGGTCCAGATTTAACCAAAGAAAAAACAAAATAGGTACACTAAGTTGGTCCACCACGAAGTTTTATTACAAAAATTGACTAGTTTCGGCTCAATTGGCCAAATGACCACTGCTCCTTGTTATTTCAAATTTTATTTGTTTCTCAATATCTTATCATCCTTGTAAACTAAATATCTGCACAGGTACTGTGAATTGTGTCTGAAGATGGCTATTTGAGCCGAAACTAGTCACAAAAAGTCAATTTTTGTAATAAAACTTTGTGGTCGACCGACTTAGTGTATTTTGTTTTTTTTTTCTTTGAAATAGTATATTCACCGCCATTTTGAATGAAGAGATGGTAAAGAAAGCAACAACACGAAAAAAATCCTTTCATATTAAAAAAAGGATCAAAATCATTTCAGAAATGTTCAATAGCCAACACGTTAACATCCATATTCTCGATTCAATTGCAGATTTTATAAATCATAAGCCTAACAGTTAATCGATAGTGTATATAGTTTATGCAAAGTCAGTTGAAAAAACACATCACCGCAAGCCGTCGGTCCCTTTGAAAGTTCAAAGAGTGCGGCAGCGCGGCCATACATTCGTTTGATGATCTGTTAAACTGACTTTGCATAAACTTCACCTATCTTTAGTTTCCTAAAAAATAATCGCTCATTGATAAATTAATTGATTATTAATTAATAGAAGTCATTAACAATTGATTTCTTGCACATAAATCAAACTATAGAGGCGGCGGAATAGCGCAGTGGGTGGTGGTAGGAATCAGGACGTCGAAAGTTTGCTAGCTCGGTTGCTATGTTCGAATCACCGGCAGAATAACAACGGGAAGTTGAAAATTATCACTTTTTGAGCACCTCCCGTATCATGGTTACTTTTCAACGAACGGAGCCAAATATAGCTTTGTATGTATAATACAGCAGGGTACTCATTTTATTTCTGTAATCGCTCATTTTTCGAAAAATGAAGACAACAAAATTTGTTCAAATGGGACACCCTGTATATGTCTATCCAGTTGTATTCAGATATCGTATAGCTCATCAAAAATATATAATAGTTAAAATTTCATTTAAAAAAAAAAGTTTGGCTCCGTTTTCTAAAAATGAGCGATTACCTCGGCGATTACAGAAATAAATGAGCATTAGCATGAGAATTAAATGAGTATTATACGTAGAAAGTTATATAAAGCATCTTTCTCATCGTGCCGAAAATTCTGTTTGCGGCATTATTCGTTTCCCAAAAAAGTAAGGCGGTAATGTGAAAACCGCAACACTTTATCTCCAAAGATTACTGAGATATCGCACAGAACATCGAATACTGGTCACACTACATACATATCAATCAATGTCGGTCTAAATTAAAAAGCTAGCTAGTTAGTAGGCGAGAGAAATGATATTGTCTGTTCGTTGGAAGAAACAGTAGGCGAGTGAACTATTTTTTTTTTTTCTTAAATATAATCATCAATCGAATACCATTCACTTCAATATTTTTTTGGAATTTTTAAGGTGCCAGAATCATCAATGATGCCACGGTTATTTTCAAACGGCTAGAAATGTACTGCGAGTAAAAACTGACGTCACGATTTAGTAAGTAGGGGAAAACCATAGCTCAGTTGCCATTTGTTGAAATACGATTGGAACTTCAGAAATATTAGTTATTCATTGAACCATAAATTCTCAATTATGTATTGGTGATATTCCTAATTAGCATTGAAAAAGCAATTGTCTCAAAATGTTCCCTCATATGTTGTGGATTTTATTGCTTATAATACATTTGTGTAAATAATAATTATATTAATTTTGACTATAGGACATTTGAACCGGTAAACGCTCGTGTAAACGTGACAACACGGCGCACCACGAATTGTGGGCGTGGTCTTGTTAGTTCTCAGCATTCAGCACAATGTTGCCAAGTCTCCAAAATTCAAATGATATTTTGTTATGGGTTCCTCCTATTATGTTTCATTCAACTACCGGACTGTGTACATCTTTTCGATAACTTGATTATAATTGGTGATTTAGCAACCTTGCTTCATAAGTGGAAATTAGAGATTATCAGACCAACAACGAAACGGTATAAAAACTGACGTCACCATTCAATCGACGTATCGCCAAATGGCGGCCATGACGGTACGTTTGAAATGAGCTCTAAAATTCAACAATTTCGAACAACACAATACTCATCATTTACATAAAAAAGCGTCAGAAGTGTTCCAAAAATTAATTTAGGTCCCTAAAGACACAGTGGAGTAATTGAATGCCAATAATTCATTATTAGTCCAATCGCCCAATGAGAAAATGTGACAGTAACTGATAACGTAGAGACATCTACATGAACACAAGAACTAAGTTATTCATTTTTTATTCCTGACCAAAACATTTTTCATGTTCCTGTCAAGCATATACTGTCATCTTTGTAAATAAAAATGGTTCCGCATTTCAATAGCGCTACGAATTTCGAAAAAGTGTCAAAATCGACCTAGAAGCGCCTCATTATTACCAGGATTATGGTGATACCGTCACACTGAATGGAGTTATGTAGCGAATCTAGAACCTTTGCGACTGCCGGTGTATGCGGCCGCATTTTCGAAGCAGACGGCGTTCAAAACGAGTCAAAAAATGGCCGTCCAGTTTCTGATCAACTGATTTTTTTCGCAGAAAATCATTTTATTCTACTCTCGATTGAAATATATGAACCAACCATGGGCAGACGATCAAAAAAATGTTTATGTAGGTACAGTGTCTTTCAGTATGATCAATATACGTATAGGGAAATATGCAGAGATATAGAAATTTCACTTTCTCTTTTATGAAAATTGATTAAACTTCTTTGGGGAGCGCCACTGACGATATTCCAATATTTCAATGAAATACAAAATTAATTATCAAACCTTTTTATAACTGCAGTTTTTTTATAATTCTTCTCAGTTTTCGAAATATCTGACAAAATTCTTTTTGGTGCTTCTCCATACTTGTTTATGATCATATTTTGCATATTTGTACCTCATTTATTGTGTTTAGTTATTGTCAACACTATCCATTTTTATCATTTCACAAGTTCATCATCATAATATGTAGTGGTATCCCAGAAATTATTATTGACTGACTTGTCAGAAAAGAACCATCATCAAGAAACTTACAATTTTTATTAAATTATCAAACACCTTCATGTCATCGTATTTCAATACAATCACCACTACTTGGAGAAGCACCAAAATTAATTATGTTAGATATCTCGAAATCGGAGAAGAAATATAACAAAACTGCAGTTAAAAAAATTTTTGATTATTAATTCGGTCATTCATTAAAATATCAGAATATGGTCAGTCACTTTGAAAAAGTTATATCAATTTTCATCAGAGAATGTGAAATACCTTTCTTCCTGTATATTGATTAAATTGATGTATGGTCTTCATGCACGGCCACGATAGTAAATTGCCTTACGAATTTTAGAGAAGAACCTTTGAAGGATTTTGAAATATTCAAGAAAATCTGTATATAAAATTATTGTTCAACTCCCTCTCACGGCTCAATGGTGCATTTAACATTGTATAGAGACAAATTAACTTCAATTGGCCTATTTTGGTATCTAGTTCACCCTATAGAATTAATGGTATATTGTTTCGGGAAAAAAGTGGTACTTTGAAACCCCAGGGACTTGAGTACTTATTAAATCTCTAGGGATTTAAAGTACCACTTTTTCCCCGAAATCTGGATCATCATAGTTACCAAGGTCGTTAATATGGTAACAATTAACCCCTTTTATGACCTTTTAGAAATAGAGTAAGTACCATTTAGTGGCATTTAATTTTTTTTTTCATTAATTTTAAAGTGTTTTTGAATCCCTAGATAAATTATAGCAATTCTGTTGGAGGGGCTATAAACTTTTTGTCTCAGGATCTAAATTACCACCTTAGCACCTAGGTGTATAATGTAATATTATTGTATAACATAACTCAAAATGGGTCTAGCCAGTCAACCTATATTGTTCACTAATTACATAAAGAACAAATTAATATGTCTCACATTTTGATAGGGCTAATGGAAGAAAAAGGTCAAAAATATCACATTGTTTCACTTCTCTGGAGTCATCTGTCTGTGAACTTACATGAATTTGTTACAGATGTCATTTCTACTGTGCAGGAAACATGAAAGGAGGCATTTCCTGATGGATCTGCAAAGTTTCGTTCTTCACCTGTCACTAAATCACAAGGGGTTCCCTGACAAAAAAAAAATGAGAATCATGATTTATACTCTTCTCATAATCATACATACTTCAATGAATAAGTTTTATGAAGTTAGAGGAATCTCTGCAAAAATGCTTTTGAAAATGTCTTGTTTGCTAATGGGTTCCCTAGTGGATTTCAAAAGTTTTAAGGATGCTGGTTACCATTTATATTTGAGTCACTCAAAGATGAGAAGACATTTCAGTGTTTGATGAAGCTTCAAATTCATTTGGTGTTATGCCACTGTTAGGAATTCAAATAATAATGTCTGCTCTTGTTCAATGAAGGGGTTCAGAGAAATGATATTCCATCTCTTACAAAACTTTTTTATGTCTCATGTTTTTTGTTTAGCTGTTCAATAACAAGATCAAGTTTGTCCACACTCATTGAAGGGCATGAAATGAGATGTTCCAGGTACCATAGATCTCTATGGAGAACTTGTTGTTAGGATATGTTATTATAAATAAATATTTGTTTCTTGAAAAGTTGTTCAAAATGTCTGCCATGCTACACTTACCTTTCACCTAGCCTTTCATCTTGTCTTATATTCAGACCTCTTGTTTAGTAAGCTGATTATTCAAGAATCAATCAGGAGCAAGATCAGAAATAATAACCTAGGAAATAAAAGTATAACAAGCAGGTACAATAATCTTGTTCCTTCCTCAAGATCAAGATATAGATGCATAGAAAATGAAAATTCCTTTAGGATATACCATAGCATTCCAGAAGCCACATATTAGGGGTTATTTCTCAGTTGATTGATAGAAAATGGACTTGGTATTACAAATGTACTGTACTATAAATACTAATAATTACCCTGGAATTTGTTTTATTGAATACTTCATTAGCTAATAATTTCAATGGCCCACAATATACTCCTGATTTAGCTGTAATGAATCTCTCTAGAGCATGATAGGTCTTTCCAGAATTTGTGGGTCCTGCATGAAAAATAATTCTCCTATTGATAGCTCTAGCCTGTGGGTACCAGTTAGCTGGAGACCTTAAATCAGATATTTTCTTCAAATCATCCATGCAGTCCAAGTGTGGAAACATCATTTTAGCATGACGAAGAAAGTAAGGATACATGTCTGTTACATTTCCAGAGCCTTGTAAGATATCACTGAAGACAACATGTATATCAGCAGGTAAAGATTGTGCTTCCAAACAATATCTTCTAAAGCTCACATAAGCTTGATGTTGAAGATAATCTGGAAACGAATATATGTGAATATTGAATCACTGAATTAAAGTAAGTTTACTTACTATCAAGACCATTATCTGTGAGCAACTGCTTTATTTCTTTCCTTTGGTAAAATTTACTAAGAACTTTCAACAAATCACTTTTATTCAGGGAGCCTGTTAGTTCGTATCCAACATCAATATCATCTGAATTTGGTTTGATTTGTATAGGAACAAATAGGGATGAAAGAGAAGAATCATCCTTTTTCGTTCTAGTTTGTAAAAAGTTCACTGCGACTTTATAATGTTTTTTACCTATGAATTTTGAACGACACGAATGGATTGCATTGACCACTGCACATATATTTCTTATTCTGTACGTATTCTGCAACATTTCCTAAGAATAATAGAAATATTTCATCAAACAAAATCTAAAATCTTCAACTCCCAAAAACTTGGTTAAAAATGAACTGAATAAAGGTTAATTTCGTTTGTTTACGTCTACTTTATATTTCTTTAGAGCGATCTCAGATCATAGCGACCATGTAGAGTTTGCTATTTGTCGTACTGGGCGGAACGACAAAATGAACTAAGAAGTAGTTCAAATAGTCTAGGATGTTAGCCGACGTTAGGGAGAAGAATTATAAGAAGAAGAAAGAGTGAGGGTGGGAATCTGAGTAATCTGACAGAATTCAAATTTCAGATTTCACTGATTTCAGAAAGTCATAAACAAACTACCTCTACAGAAAGTATTGATCTCCACTCCCATCCAAAACTGCATTTGAATTTGAACAAAAAAATTCTAAAATTAGCCATATTACTAGACTCGATCATCGGAATTGATGTTATAATGATAGTGAACCTCGTTTTTCTAGGCGTTTGTAGCCTGGCTACTGGAAAGGAAGCTAATGTACTGATGACTGAGGTTTTTGCAATTCCACTGGATCCAGGAATGTTCAATTGGACATTCGAAGGAGTTGAACACCAGTTCGTGTATCAGGCATCTCTACTGAGTGCTCCAGATTTACCATCTTGGATTAGTTATGTATATAGTGACCAACATCACTCTGGTTTCTTGTATGGGGTCCCACCTCAAAGAAATCAGGCAGAAATACCTCTAGAAGTGATAGCATTGAATAAAAACAACTATGAAACGCGAGTAGAGAATTTGAATATCATAATTTCCGAAAAATTGAATCCTGCCAGGTTTGAGGTCCATATCAAAATAAATAACCTGAATGTTGAAGATATGTTTGATGTGGAAAGAATGGAGGCTCTGAAAGATGTATTTCGAAAGCAATTATGGAAGGATAGTGAGGATGACTTGTATGTTACATTCCTGAGTTCTGCTCTTGAATTGGGAGCTAGGAAGCCTCTGGATCCCACAGATGGAGAAGGGTAATATTGGAAACTGATACATAATGAGTAATGAAAGTTAGCAAGCCTTTTCATCCTTGTAGTCATTTTGCCAGTTGAAGAAATTATACAATGAAAGACAGCAATTTAGGCACTTTATCTCGAGGGGTAAATCCCCAGGAAAAATGTGTACACCAGACTTCCAATGACCAAAGACTTCCAAAGACTTCCAAAGACATCCAAAGACTTCCAAAGACATCCAAAGACTTCCAAAGACATCCAAAGACTTCCAAAGACATCCAAAGACTTCCAACGGAGTGTACACCAGACTTCCAAGGAGATTTACCCCTAGCTTTATAGTTCTATAGCATCTATAGGTCCCCAATACAATCTTGATGATCTTCTCTGAACATAATAAGGATTCCCTTGCATGTGCTCCAAGCCATAGAAAAAAATGTATCCCAATGTGTATGAGAAAAGCTGATTGTATAGGAATCTGAAATAAATATTTCAGAAAAAGGGAATATCACAAAAGAATGTTATGAAATGATCTTTATGAATTGTAATGAATTGAATGGAACATGACAAAAATTATTCTTGGATCCTGGATAATTTCCCAAGCATAATATGAAAAACATTTTCTTACCTTGTTCCAATAAAAATATTGGTACTATTCCAATATACCTACTTGAAGTGAAAAAAATCAGAAGATTTGTCCAAAAATGTCACTGCACTTAACATATTTCATTAATAAAAACCTAAAAGAAAAGAGTATGCTTGAAAATTTCACTTACTTTCATTTGATTTTATTTACTACTCTTATTTATTTAATAATCAAATTCACCTTCACAATAGAAATCAATTAAATATATTATCAAGATAGCATAAGGACAATAAAATCACAGCATCATCAAATGAAATTGAACAGTGGTAAAAATTGAACTTGTTGTAAACAATACAATTGTTGTTGAAACTAATCATTGTAGTACCATTATAGACCAGTCGTCGGGAAATGAAAGGCGGTGGGCTATCAACTCAGCAAACATGAATAGGCGGTAAATAGCCCGGCCATCGCTGCCAGCAGCAGTAGGGTCCCTTGATGGAAATTGACGTTAAAGTCATCTTAACAGGGTACGGACAGATCCTCGTCTCCTGTCACTCTAAAGTGTTTGTGAAACAGTTATATAGTTCCATCCTTATTCAATTCTGGGGATAAACACTAGATTTTTGACATTCGTTGTTTTTTAGGTTATATTGAGGGCACCGGCGTATCATACGTAATTTCCATATGGAACTCAACTATACCAAGATATAGATGAACAATCCTCTAGTTTTAGAGTTTACTACTCCAGCAAAATTTTTGTGAGTTAGGGAACATATCAATTGTACTGATGAAAGCTTAATATATTTCACCTAAGATGCCTAGAGACATCTCCATTTCACCAAAAGAGACTGTTCTTAGACTGTATACCAGGGTTGACTGAATTGACTGAATGAATTCTGATTTCAAGCTGAGCAGTAGTTCACCTATGAGCTGAATAAGCAGAGCCTTATGATTGAGAAATGGGGGAAACCTCGGTGTGGGTATCTAAACTACTGTGCTCATGTCATGTGTGCTGAATATATTTTCGTAAGTTCAACTCGGAGAAGAATTTATGGAGTTACTAATATCACACTATGTATAAAACTTCGTCTAGGACGAGAAAAGGCTGAAAAAAGAATATACTCCACCTTATTTTTCCCTCTCCGTTGAATAACAAGTCATTTTCGAATAATTCATTGATGAAAGTAACAAAGAAGTAGGTATAGGCAGTATATCTTATAGGCACGTTATTTTCACTCTTGCATCCTACATATTTTCTATTCGTGGTAGAGTGATAATAATTATATAAACTAATGTCTTTCGCCATATTGAATCCATCATCTTGAATTTTCCAATTTTTACGAAACAATCATTATCTCCTACCCCGAAAACCACAGATACCACATTTGAATAGAATCGGATCTTCATTACAATACTCGTTCACCATACTGGATTCGCCATCTTGAGTATCCCAATTTTGACGAAATAATTATAATCTCCGACCCCGGAAATCCATAGATACCAATATTGATTTTTGAATAGAATCGGATCATGATTACAAAATTCGTTCGCCATATTGGATCCGCATCTTGAATTTCACAATGTTGACAAAAAATCATAAAGTTCAACTCCGAAAACCCTCAGATACCGTCAATCTGAAATAAAATCAGATCATCATTCAAAATTTATTTCGCTATATATTGAATCCGTCATCTTAAATTTTCCAAGTTTGACGAAACAATCATCATCTCCAACCCCGGAAAACCCCAGATACCTTCCAATTTTGAAAAGAATCGGATCATAATTACAAAACTCGTCCGCCATAATATGATCTTCCTCAACAACAACAAGTAAATACCCTGTACATACCAATTATCAAAATTTTGAATGATTTTCTGTAACGCCCATGGATGTGACGTGACAGCAATGTCAGTGATGCCAGTAGACAAAACTCAAGTCCCTAGACCATTAAAAAAGAATGCAGCTATGATCTGTGCCGCCACATAGAATGACATAGGTTGTGCCGTCACGGCATGATGTATGCTTATTTATTAAGTTTTCTTTATCCATCCCGTGTTTGACCCTTATAGATAAGTCACAATCGCGCCGCTGTCGATTCGATGCTGGAGACAAACTCCATTTAAAAAATATTTTTGCTCATTAAAAGAGTAGGCTGAGATCGATTTTCATTGTTTTTGGCATTGCATGTTCTGTGAATGTAAATCACGTTTGAGATGTTTTTGACCTGTAAGTGTTTCAAACAACCATGTTGCCGTACAAATTTGGTGATAACTTTTCAGAGGTTGACTGGAATTCTCCAGTTATTTTTCGAGAAAGCAGATATTTCTTCCAGAAATTTTTTTTGTATCCTGTTAATTTTCGAGGTTTATTTGCTAATAAATAATTTTTGATCTGATGCATCCTGCGCATTTTCGAAAACTAATCTAATTAGTCGGACTGTTCATTGATCATGGCTACAATGTATTCTTATTGTAAACAAACTGATATGTTGCTGGTCCTCGCGGGCTCTACAAGAACTCTCGCGTTACAAATTTAATGATAATTATTCAGGACCTAAGGTGAGAACTTTAACGCCTTGTACCAACTCAACGAAAACGATTTTGGATATAGGTAAGTTGGCTAAAACCAACTTATTTTTATCCCAGGAGTCTACAGTCAAGCCATGTCCAAGAGATTATTCTTCTAAAAAATGCATAAGATGCTTCAGATCAGAAATTATTCATTTGCAAATGAACCTCGAGACATCAAAAATTAACACAATACAAAAAATATTTCTAGAGGGAAATATCTTTCTGGAGAAAAAAACTGGAAGTTTCAAAGACTTTTGCTAGGTATCAATTTGACAATTGGTTATTTCTTTGAAAATGTACTCAGTAAAGGCATGCTTTGTTGCAGTTGATTTTTTGTTTATGAACCCGTGTCGATCCTCTAACAATACATTATGATAAGAAAAAAGAAAGGAGAAAAGAAGGAGAAAAAGTATTATATAAACCAATAATGGTGGATTAAACCGACTGGATCAATTTTACAAATTCCATTTTTAAATACAACTAAAGAATGCACGAACGAGTCAATATTAAATACATTGAAATCACACAAAATACGCAAAACAGGGCAGCAGAACATACTTCGTACATTTTCAACCACAAACATTTCAGAACACTCTGGTTTTTACAATTCTGTATGATGTAAGTCTGCAAACGATTCGTTACCGATCCACAGAGCGTTAAACTTTCAAGATTTTTTTCCTTACCTCAGCTTTGGAAATATTCAGATCAAATTTGAAACATAGGTTATTCTGAGGGTTATTCAGGGTTTACATCATATGATATGCTAGGTGATTATAAGAATCTAGGGAGATTTTTCTTCAGGGGTCAAGCCTTTTTTCGCTAAGTACATACATTTTTGTGTCAAAAATTTTAGTTTGATCTCAACAAGTTACAAAAAATTACTAGTATTTTTATTTTTGGTAATGGTCCCAAATGCGAATAGAAATTACAGATTTACCGCCGTGTGGCAGTCGGATCAGAAAAACCCTACGGTTAGTCGTAGAAGGCGACTAAAAGGATGCCAATAGGTGGAAGATGGCTAACACCATTGCCCAATGTGATACCACCACATCAACCATAGGCACTGTGAAATGGGTATACTCACAAATGTTTCACTAGCTGGTTGATAATTTCGGCCAACCCCACCCAATCCAATTTCCTTTTCCTTCCACGCCAACCTCCCTTTCAAATACAGAAAAGGCGATGATCTAGTTCTCCTGAAGTGAAATTATCCGGAAGTAAAAACCTCTCTATTCGGCTGAAAAAGTCCTCAAAAGATAAACATATGTAACATCCGTGGTCTAAGTACGAACATCAACTATGTCCATCGACATGGTCAGACTGAAAAGCCAGACATATTGGCCCTGACTAAGGCACAGGTCAGTTCATCCACCAATACGACCTATATGATCTGTAGGAGCTCCACACACGCTTCAGGTTCAAGGAAGGTCTCTGCCTCTATTCTAAAACGAATCTCTCATGTCATAAAAAAAAAACTTTGGAACCAAATAAGTTTGATGTTATTGTGGTATGTGGTTCATACTTGATAGCCAGAAACAGACCAAATATCCTTGTTGTCTCAATAATCACCGGAAGATATACCCTATGAAAAGCTCTTCTAGTTCTTGTCTTTGAATTCGACCTGATTAAGCAGAACCATCCATCAGCAGAAATCATCATAATGGGCGATTTCAATGAACACAACAGTGCTTGGCTCCTACACTCCAACAAAACGGATGATGCTGGGCGATAAGCCGAAGCTTTCGCCATCACTCACGGCTTAGAGCAGCTCATCGGGACACTCGACTTATTCCTCACTTGATAATTCAGCACCTTGCACCATAGACGTATGAGCTCCACATGGCAATTCTGATCACACACTCATCTCCACAACCTGCCCATTCTTCATTCCAGCAACTACTCCAGTCTTGTAAGGCATTATTCCGCATGTTTTTCTCCGAGTTTCCTTGGTATTTAAAATGCTCCCTTCACAGTGTGCCACGGGAATATCCCAGATCATCACGCCTGGAATGGACACATATACATACCCCATTCTTCGAAAAGATTATCAGCTTCGAAACCCTGCTTCAACAAGAACAAACAGCCTACCATCGCTGGCGCAAGAACCCCAACATCGTGACTAGAATATGTTGAAGCAAGGAATACTTTTTTCAAAGAATATTAGGCTAGTCTTTGCTTTTTTTTTTCATATTCTGGTTCTCACGAAAAGGGATATCCTGTAATGTTCAGAGAACATCGTGAGAACCAAGGGAAATAAGGTAGGAATTGGTGTTCTTCTCGAATTTTTGGAGGTTATCTCCCCTGGCAATGTGTTCCAGAGCCTCGCTGTTGGTTGGATGAACGAGTCTTTGGAAAGAGATGTTCTGCAGGTCTCCAAAGTGACCACGAAGGGGTGCGAAGCCTCAACTCGACGGGTTAATCTCGCGGGGACTGCCAAGGGAGGAACAATTGTTGATATTTCAGAAGAGCATCGTCCATGGAAATATCTATAAAATAGAGCCAGATCGCCAACTTTTCTACGGTGCTCCAGAGAAGTGAGTGAGTTTGTGAGCGAGGCATCACCCAAGACGAGACGGATTGCCCTTTTTTGGATAGAATCCAAACAGTTTGAGGCTATGTTTGGGTTCTGCACTCCGAATATGGTATTCCAGGACAGGTGTATCTGTGCCTTTTAGATCATAAGCATCTGACTGGAACTGAAATAGCTCCTGGCCCGAAACAGAAAACCAAGTTTTCGGGATGCACTTTCAGCAATTGATCTCACGTGAGTTTCCCAAGAAACGTTATTTCTGATAGTGATACCAAGCATCGAAATGGATGTCTTCAAAGGTATGGTTACTCCTGACAAGCTTATGTTGGGCACAGTGAGATCTAGAGAAAAGGCATGCTTGTGTGCATTGAAATCTACCAAGTTATTGGATATCCATTCGAGAATTCTTGCCAAGTCCATATTCATATTTTCAACATTTCTCCCTCGTTCGTTTCTGGTATGCCTGGTTGGTATTGGAGCCCTGAAAGAGTCAATAGATGCCAAAATCAGATCAAAACGCATAGATTGTCCCGTTCGTTTTGGTCCGTCGCTGAAGCAGTTGGAAGGAATTTCACTAATAGCTCATTCCCACCACTCCCCAAAGCCGACGGCACATTAGCAACAACATCACAAGAGAAAGAGAACATTTTTGCATATATGTTCGTAGAAACCTACACCTTGAATTCCCAGGAAAGAGTGCCGCCAGACATTCCGCCCGTTGAAAGTCGAATGCCCGAAATTTTCTTCCGTCACCGCATTCTGCTCGATCTCAAAACGAATAAGTCTAATGGTCCTGATGGAATTCTGCCCATAATTCTCAAAAAGTGTGCACCAGAATTGACACCGATTCTCTGCAAGGTATTTACCATCTCCTACAAGTCGGGAATTTTTCCATCTTGCTGAAAAATAGTAGAGAGAGATAGAGTCCAACCAATCTCCAAAAAAGAAAACAAAAGCCTGCCCAACAACTATAGGACAATAATTGCCCTAGCTGTTATCAGTCATCTCCAAAGTGATCGAGAAAGCCATCAAAATTGAGCTCATCAATTATTTGGAAAGCTCATCAGGAATCATTAATGATAGACAATATGGCTTTCGCCACCGGAGATCCACTGGAGATTTTCTTGCCTACGTCACAAATATATGGCAAGCTTCGCTAGGAAAACATGGGAAATCTGTAGCTGTAGCGTTAGATATACCGAAGGCATTCGACCGTGTTTGGCACCAAGGACTGCTCCACAAACGACTATCATACGGCTTACTACCTCAGCTATAGAACGACGAAGCTTGGAAATTCTTTGCCAATGTAAATATTCCCTAGAACTTATAACCTCCAAAAGTTCAAAAAAAAATTCCAACATGTACCTCCTCTTCCTATCCTCCCTGGTTACGCACGATGTTCCACGAACATTATAGGAACTTCCGTTCGTACGCTCCAAGAGAAGATAAAAAAAAGGCAAGAATGTTTATGAGGAAAACAAAGGATTCTTTTCGTATTTCAAAATTTACCAGCAGCGTACCACAAAAAAGTTTATGGAGCGAAACGCAACTTTCGTTTCGAATTTGATCTAATCGCTCGAAAACGAGCTATTAAGAAAAGAGAAAAAATCTTGAAACTTCAACGCTCTGTAGATCGGTAACGAAGCCTTTATAGAAAAGTCTCATTTTGACCTGAACATTAAGCCCCTTAAATCTTGATAGGACATTTTGAATCACCCTCTATGAATTATAACTATCCAGATCAGCCACTAGGTAATTCACACAACATATCTATTTGTGAGGGACAAAAACATATATCCAAATGAAAATTTATTAGTTTCAGCGTATTTCACATTTTTTGTTCAAGAGTTGTTCAGAGGTTAGGTCATCTGGAGTAGAAGGCCTGAAAACTTGACATTATCCTTCATATTGCAGTAATAAATCATTTCTGTATTTTTAGTGTGGTAATACGACTTGGTAGCGAATCAGCCTTCTCAGATGAACTGATTAAACTCCAAAATGAAATCAAACCTCTATGGAAAGTGCCATCTTGTCCTAGGGAATTCAAAAGAACGTCTGTTGAGAGACATTTTCGAGATGCTGGTTTTGCATTGGATTGGTGTTCTTTCAGATTGGTGAGAAACCTTACACTTTTTCGAAATGAAGTAGAGAACTCTGAGTGGATCAATTAAGCTGACAAACAATCATGAATCATATAATATGTAATCAAAAATAAACTTGCCAGTTCACTTCATCATAATACAATATTGGGTTCAGCATTCAGCAACTTTCCTGCTTTGAATCTTAGCCTTAGGAATGTTAAATATAACATGGTGTTATTTAAGGATGTGGCCAAACTTCGAGGGGCGGTTATTTGTGAGGTTTTATGATGAACAGTTTATATAAATATAGCTCTGAAAATGCATATTTTTCAACATTCAGACTGTGATTCTTTCTTTTAATAGTTTTTTCATAAGTCTAGTTATGGCTGAATTGATCCCTTACTACTACAAATTGGACTACAATATTTCCACAAAAAATTGGAATAGAGAATTTTGCGATATTTACGGAAAACCAACTTTTTTAAAGATCTCTAACATCCTGTATCATGCATTCGGTTAAGTTCCAGACCATGTTTACATGAACTTTTCTACTTAGAATCACCCCTAAAATCACTCATTGAAGTTTGGCCAACTACCTGCACAACACTCTGTATATTCCAGGAATATTTCCTCTTTCACGGATCATTTATAGAATAATATTATAAGATCATCCCAATCAAAATAATAATCCAAAATCCGTTTCATAATACAACAATATTCTAATGAATCATCATTATGACATCATTCCCATGGAATATTCCCACAATTGCTTTAATCACAAGATGAAAGAATAACCCTCTCGAGAATGTGATATGTTGGTGTGGTGACAAACAAGATTTTATGAAAGCGAACATTAGAGCTACGAAATCATCTTACCTTGATACATTCTCGAAAAACACCTTCAACTGTTCTAGTATTTTCATAACCTTTCGAGAGCCTTCGGCAATGTTCTCACATGTTCCACGTGTAAGGTAACAAAACTCAGAAGTAACTAAAGCACACTATATTGAGTAAGACAACAGTACTACACTACTTATTCTCAAAGACTGAACACCTCCTTCCCCGATGATTGTACCCTTGCATAACCGTATGACTCGACGTGAGTCAATGTTGTTATCAATCTCATGTACTGGGTGAACAACTAAGAACGGCTGTCGGCCATATCTCAGCAACGAATAATGATGCAAGTTTGAAATAGAATGAATCTAATGGTATGCATATCGTTAGACGATGTAATAGAGAAACTAAATCTCAACAGACTAACGAAAACCGCAACATGATAGCTTTTCGACAACGGAAGATATTAACTATCAAAGTTGTAAGAATGATAGATATGACAGCCTTTCTCAGTTGTTCACCCTGTACAGTGCGCAGATTATCTTGTAGATGTGTACCGCACAATCGGCTTTCCTGGAACGAAGTTAGGATCACCAATATTTCCAGCTTCAAACACTCTGTAGACCCCTGCCAGCAAACGGGCAATCTCACAATCCTGCCAGCAAACGGGGCACCTCCGAACCCCTGCCTGCAAACGAGCAACATCCCAACCCCTGTAAGAAAACGGGCAATATCCCCCATCCCTGCCAGCAAACGGGAAAATTATCAACCCTGCCAGCAACCGGCAATCTCCCAACCCCTGCCAGTAAACTGGCAATCTCCCAATCCTGCTATCAAACGGGCCACCTCCTAACCCCTGTGAGGAAACGGGCAATCTCCCACCCCTGCTAGCAAACGGGCAACCTCCGAACCCCTGCCGGCAAACGGGTTATTCTCCAACCCCTGCCAGCAAACGGGGAATCTCCCAACCCCTGTCAGCAAACGGACAATCTCCCAACCCTGACAGCAAACGGGCATATCTAGAGACCTAATGATACTGCATAATATCTAGGAGTTTTTTTTCAGCATTTTATCATGATAGATACCTACCAAATGAATGAACGTGTTTTGTTAAATGTAGCCCTATTTGTTGATATCCATAATTGAGCATTACATTTTCGGCATATAAACACATGTTCTTCATTTCATTACTTCACTAGTATCATACATTACTTCATGTATCACTCTTCCAATATGTTTGGTTATTGAAGAAATTTTAAATATTTATTGATAACAATCAAGGTTATTAATGGCTGTGTCAATTTAATTTGAATAATAGTAGCCCAGTAACGAAGGTACGGTGTAGGTTGCCAGGGTTGGCAAAAAGGGCCCATAAGGGCCTACATGCCTGGCTTGAGCCTCCCCAGCATTACTACAACAACAACTACTACTAATTTTAATAATTCTGTTCCTAAATGGTTTTTGGAAAATTACGTTCATTGAATTTTTCAACTAATTAGATCCGAACAGAAAATTTATATGCATTAAATCTTCAGGCAGCAAATCTTCAGAAGGAGCAACTCAATATGTTATCTGTCGTGGCATAAAAATAGTTATTTAATATACAAGAAAAAAAGTTGTAGATTCTAGCTCCAGGTTGTGTTGTCTCCCGACGCGTAAAGGAGGGAGACAAAAAACAGTGACCTAAAATCTAATATTTTTCCCGTGTATAATACACTATTTTTTTCTGTGACAGGAAAAAATACGAATCAATATTGAAGATATTACATTATATGGAAATCAGAAAATGATTGACGTGAAATTTGAAGTTTTTAACAGTACCTAATGGCACCTGCGTTGCAGGCATCTTTATCATTCTTTTGAAGTGATCAAATATCTGTCTTTCGAATTCTGTGATTTGATTTTTGAAAAGTGCGAATTTAGTGGTTGTTTAGTAATTTACGTAATCGCGACATTGAGTGAAAGATAAAAAGACTTGCAGTTATTTCTCGGAGACGGTGTTATTGACTTATATTTCGGAACTATAGTACAACAAAAGCCATGAACAGTGTATATATGTGAAATATTTATCGAGGAAGAAGTACTCACTTTTTTCTTGTGAAGAAAAAGTAATTTATAAAAAGTGGCGTCTTATAACCTGTCAACAGAGATGAAATTTCAAACTTTTTTCCCGTCACAGAAAAAAACAAGTGTTTTACCATGATTTATGGCTCAAAATTAGTGATACTACCAATCAATTGCGATGTCCGTTTAGTGCAAAAAATTTTTTTTCTACAAACGTCAAAAAATGACAAGTTTCACGCATCGATAATTGCGAAGTGACACTTTTTGTCAGTTTCCTACGTTACCATGATACCTTGCACAAAACAATGCGCAAAGTAAAACAGTGTGCGAAGTACCTACCTAGAAGGATGGAGGCCTTTTGAGCCAGTTCAACACTATTTTTTATATCCAACTAAGCACATTTTCACTTTAGAACTATATTTTTTGACGTTTGTAGAAAAAATTTTGTTTGCAAGTCAAGCGTGAAATACTTTGGTCATCTCCTCTAATTTTTTAACTCGGCTACGCCTTGTTAAAAAAATCGAAGCTTGATCACCAAAGTAGCATTTCGCGCTCTAGATACGAAAATAGCTCTTGTAGCAGTAGGTTCCTATATGATGACGACTATTAGTGCTGGTCATTTGCTACTTCATAAATTTTTTGACCTATACTTATAGTTCACAAACTAACTTCCCAATTTATATATCCCAATATTGGGAAGTTTGTTGGTTACGCGATAGAAAATAACACGTCCCCTCACCTGACGGCAAGAACTTGAACACTTCTGAGCGGTTTGTTTTGAAGAATTGACCAATAATCACAAACAGAAAACAAATGTATACTAATGATAACAAAGTAAACAGGCCGCTTCAGCAGCTTTCAAAAACTGGGATAGGTGACGTACGCTTATTTTCTAACGCGAATATGAACAAAAAACGAACATTTTAGGTCGACAAAAATGCCGCAATGCTCATCCATACTAACGAACATTTACTGAGTACTATTGGAAATCACGCCCATGATGAAATTGAACATTGGCAACCTGTATCAAAATGGGAACTACCAAAGCGAAGTTACAAAGATGAGCTATTAGTATCAGTATTAGTTCCAGTACTTATTTTGATAGTCTTGGGGCTGGTTCTCTCTTTCTTATTGTGCTTTCATCATGAGGGAATGTAAGTATGAACATATTAATGTATACCTTGTACATATCTGTAATAATCAAGCGTGTTGAAATATTTTATAGAGAAGATGAGGAGAGTGAAGACTATTTCCAAAACCTGTTTCATATTTGTACTGATTGTTATTATGATCATTACATCTACAAAAGGTAAACTGGAATTATCAAAAACTAACTGTTGGTGCAATACTAATAATGTATCTATAAGATTTGGTGCCTACTAAAAACCACTTAACCCATAATAAACTTCAACACTATAGGGTCTCAAGATCTTTCCCAAACAATTTTCCATTGAATAATGATATCAACTGAAAGTATCTTTGTGCACTAATTTCCTTCCGTTCCTGCTTTAATGATATGTCAATAGAGGAGGTGGAATATTCATTTTCATAGATTTTTGTGATTTTCTCTCCTCGACGCTATGAATGAAAATATATTTATTAAAGTTCTCGAAGAAACAAGTGGACCATTAAAATATTTGTCGTTTTTCAAGATGCGATAACTTTTCTGGAAATTAACCGATTTCCAATCAGAATGCAGTGTTAGGAAGATATCTCGAAATGGTTTTGTAATTTTCCACCTTCCTTATACAGAATGTGACAATATCAATATCCAGGCGATATTTAAACCATACTGCACTGTGATACGATGGAATTTATTTCTCGATGTGATATCCACCTGGCTTTACGAGCAGCAGAAATTTTGACAACAACAAGATAAGCTTTTTTCAAATAATGTGAGATTTTGTTAAATTGTCTCATATTGATGCTGCTACAATCATGTGCTTGTGAAATCATTAATCCTTCATTCAGATTGATTAGTCAGTCAACATCTTTTATTTATTTATTTATTTATTTATTTATTTATTTATTTATTTATTTATTTATTTATTTATTTATTTATTTATTTATTTATTTATTTATTTATTTATTTATTTATTTATTTATTTATTTATTTATTTATTTATTTATTTATTTATTTATTTATTTATTTATTTACTTACTTACTTACTTACTTAGTTAACAGAATAAATCCAATTAAGAACTAAGAATACAGTAATATAAGTTAACAAGAATAATGATTTACAACTATTGTCTAATACAAAAAAAGAAAGATCTAATCTGCTGGATTGTTGTATGAAAAATGTCAAAAGCTGTGCAACGATCATTATAATTTCTACAGATCCTTTGTACTGGAGAGTTTCTACATATGTTTGTGCGTGGAGTTGGCAAGTAAAAGGTTCGATTCACTCGGGACGCCATTCTTGGAACGTGAAACTGAATTCTTTGCATCAAATAATGGAAGTCACATGAGTTGTTGATTGTTTTGAAAAGTATTACATTTGAATGGTACTCTCTTCGAGTTTGTAGACTGCTAAATGAATGTCTCTCAAGTAAATTTGTATGTGGTATGCCAATTTCTGGATATTCTCCATCTATTCTGAAAGAAAGTAGTTTCAAAAACCGCCGCTGAATCGATTCAAGATTGTTGATGTGAGTTTTATTATGAGGACTCCTAATTACCGAAGCATATTCCAGCTTCGATCGGACAAATGCATAATACAGACTTTTAAGAGTTACAGTATCCTTGAAATCTCTGGAGTATCGAACTATACAACCATAGGATCTTGGAACAATATCGTGATTTTCTAGATTAGTCAATTCCACAGGGGCATTTTGAAATTTCCAGACATTCCTGAGTTGACATGGAATTAAGAAACTACTATAGTTCTTCATCACTTGGTAAAACTATCCGTGAAAAGACGATTCTAAGCAAGTGGTAACATTATAGTGCACGTTTTCTTCATCACTTGGTAAAACTATCCGTGAAAATACGATTCTAAGCAAGTGATTACATTTCAATCATTCCAACACATAATATAACATACATATTTTGAACGGAAAGCGATTTTACTAAATATACTGCACGTTAGCACAAACCACGCCCACCATAATACGTCATATCTCCAAACATTACCGATATACTCGGAGTCAGCACATCGCACTAAATATACTGTGCTCCAACGCAAGAATACACTTTTCATGATTTTGACACGAATTCGACTGAAGCTCTCTCGTTGTCAATCTCTTGTACGCAATAAATTCGTATACTCAAATGGTCTACTCATGGATTAGCGCTGTCGACTTTCAGTCTGAAGGTCCATGGTTCGAATCGCTGTGAACTTGAAATTTTTTTTGCAACTTTTTTTTTCACCAATGTTTTTTTACTTATTTCTGGTTTTCCTTTTTCATAAAATATTTGAAGTCAAATAGGTTAGTGCGTTTAGGATAAACAGTCTCATTTTATTCAATTTTGTTGAAGAACTCAACTTTTGAAATATATTATTAATCAATGTGTTTCTACACTCCATTCGGTTTTCCTTCCTCAAAAATATTGCAATCAAGGATAGGTTAGTTCGTTAAGGATAAATAGTCTCTGAGTTTTGCCTAAGTACTTCGAAGATGAGATATTACGGTGGGCGTGGTTTGTGCTAGCGTACAGTATATTTAGTAAAATCGCGAACGGGAAAGGCCTACCAAGCTCGTGACAACTGTCAGTATCCCACAACATTGTTGGTTACAATGAATCTGAACAGTGAGCTTGAAAATGTTCTCACTCCCATTAATATTGGTGCGTTTCAATAAGAGCTGAATGGATTCTCCCAGTGTTTCAGTAGGAGCAAGATGGAAATTTTTACATATTCAGTGACGTTTGTTTATCATCTGAACTTCAGTGGACGATGAGCTGGATCTCAAATGCCCATTGTTTATAATCTCGATTGAGTTTTTCAAATAATTCAATTCTTCGTCTTGCTCAAAAGTGTCTTCCTTTACTAAGAAAGCTTAGAGGTTGAATATCTATTGCACAAACCCATGCGCCTCCAAAATTATTCACGCGACAGTTATTCTGCAGAAGCTCGTACTGTTTGAACCGATTTGAATCTCTTAACTAGCTGGAACAAAAACACAAAATTTGTGGGATATGAAGCAGTCCTGAAAAAACGTAAATACTTCTGTGTAAGCTCATGCTTCTGACGGTTTCACACTGTTGATTTTATAAACATGAACAAAGCATTTTCGTTTCTTCATAATTTTTTCCAGAGCAAAACATATTGATGACATATCGCAGGAAATGACCCAAGCGGAGGCTCTCCAAAGGGCAAATGAAACTCTTCGCAATTTCTCTATCAACAGAGAATCAAACGCCTCACCAGACCCCCATAGCCATACTGCCAGTCCCAGTTCAACTGTTGGTAAGCATTCCAAATAAATGTCAGTTTGGCTGAATTAACAGGTTGGGGCAAAATTCACCTTTGTGGTATGAATTAAAATTTTCATATTTCGATTTTTTTGTCGGAAATCTTATGAGAAGATTTGAGACAGCCGAAATACAGAGAATCATTATCAAATGCTTTATCATTCCATATCTGAGGAAATACAGAAGTAATGCTTTTCAAATTCGGTACACTTCCTACGTAAACCCTTATCTATAAAATTGTAACAAAGGAGGGACACCTGGAACTTTATTTTAATTTCAAATCGTCATATCTAGCGAACTGCTGGTCCGATTTGGTTTGTTCTGTTTACATTCTTCTTTCTTATGGAATACATTGCTGAGAACATAAGAAGAATCCGAAAAAAATATTTTTTTTCTCACTGCAAAGATGTAACAAAGGGTTTCTTCTGTTCACATTCTTTTTCTCAAAGAATACAATGATTGAAGTGAAAAAACGGGTATCAACAAAATATTTTCTAAATTTCCAAATCATCATATCTAGGAAACGAATGGTCCACTTTTTCTGAAATTTCAGATGGTCATATCTATCGAACGAATGGTCCGATTCAACTCCTTTGTTCTGTTCCCATTATTTTTTCTCAAAAAATACACTGCGAAAAAACGAAAATCCTTGAGAAAAAACATTTTACAGTGAAAAACAAAACAAAGAGCCCTTGGAACTTTTTCTATAATTTCAAAACGTTTTATCTAGCAAACGAATGGTACGATTTAACTCCGGTTTGTTCTGTTCGCAATATTTTTTCTTACAAAATAAATTGCTGAAAGCAAAATATCGAAAACTCGGGGAAATATCTCACTTACATGAAAAAATGTAACAAAAGGCCTGTTCGTTTGTGCTTGCTCTACCTGCTGAACTTGATATTTTTTTATGACTTTCTCTATTTACATCATGCCATGAACAGAGACAACTATGGGAAAATAATCAGCTTTAGCAAATTTAGCAATACAAACGAACAGGCCTAAAGAACTTTTTCTAAAATTCCGAATCGTCATATCTAGCGAACGAATGGTACGATTCAACTCCGGTTTGTTCTGTTCGCATTATTTTTCCTCATAAATTACATTGCTGAAAGCGAAAATTCTGGAAAAAATTATCTGACTGAAAAATGGAACAAAGGGGAGCCCCTTGAAACTGTTTCTATAATTTCAATTCTACCAAGCGAACGGATGGTCCGATTCCGCTCGGGTTTGTTCTATTCGCATTATTTTTTCTCATAAAATACATTGCTGGAAGCGGAAGTATGAAAATCCGGAAAGAATATTCTTCTCACTGAAAGAAATCTAACAAAGGGTGGACCTCTAGACCTTTTCTTAATATTTCATATCGTAATATCTAGCGAACGGATGGTCCGATTCATCTCCGGTTTGTTCTGTTCACATTATTTTTTCTGAATGAATACAAAATATTCTGACGGACAAAGCAAAAATATGATCTGACCATGATCTGACATTGAATGACTTTGCTAGTGTCGTAGTTTCGGAACATCAAATTCGGAAGTGGGCTTTGATTTGGCTTCCACTGCTATGGGTACGCGTACGATTGCACGAAATTGAAATTTTTTCTACGGCTATGACACAAAGTTGCTCTTGTTTTCCTGTGTTTGATTGACAATGTCTTCATTGAGTTATTATTCCACAAAATCTCTTCTCTCATGAAATGTCAAATTTCAAGCAATGATTGCTAATAGGTGAACATTTTACTTGAGAGGAAATCAGATGGCTACAAGCCGAAGAAATCAAAAATTTCGCTGTTATCTGTCACAGCCGCAGAATAAGTATAGTGTATAACTCGCACGGATTGCTAATTTCGCACTCCTATGATTTGCTTCATTTTCTTGGGAAATGACTATCATTCTGAGCTCGCTAAACAATATACTATTACATTGCTAGAGAATCTAGATCCTCACGTCAGGGGCGTACTCGCTAATTATGATCGAGTCAAAGAAAAAAAATATCGGGAAATGGCACGGGTGAATGTCAGAATTTTTTTTTCAATATTTTCCATGAATAAATGAATGGAAATGGCATTATTGCTAGTTCAGGATGGAAAATTACTCATTACAGGTCATGGTGTACACTGCAGACCTAGCCCTCCACCATATGTTAGACCGAAATTCAAACCAGAAATATTGTGACAGGAGGAAAAATATGTGGATGAGCTGAAAGAGAATGGTGTCAAAGAAAAGGGGCAAGCTGAGAACAGGGACGCTGAAAAAACATGGTATTGCTAGACTTGTAGTTGGCCGTAGATGTGAGTATGTAGGTCAAATGTATCTTGTAAATTCAGTTGTCAAGAAGTCTAGAATCTCCGTATATGTCAAAATGATTGGCTACAGCTGCTAATTGTCAATAATATACGCGCTTAGATTGAAATTATATGCAAGAAAACAAAATAGTGTATACTAATGTCAATGAAGAAATATAATATGTGTGTACTGAGGAACGATGAATTATGCGAATAAAATTATTTAAACCACACGTCTTTTCACTCACCTTCAATGTCAAGAGGCGATGATATAATTGAACAGGCTGTTTAGACATCCTCTTCAGTGTTTATCGTCGTAGATCAAAACTGATAATTCTGAGGAGAACCAAAATGATTTTTTGTCATCTCGAAAACCGAGGAAAATTATTATAAAAAACTGCAATTGGAAAAAGTGAGATTATTGTCATTCTTTGAAATGTCAAAATCTGGTCTGAGCTGTACTCCAAAAAAGTTACATTAATTTTCATCAAAGATAATGTGAGAAACCAAACTCCCTGTGAATTGATTGAATTGGTAGGACATGTTTTCCAAGCAAATTCACCATAGTAAATTACCTTACGAATTTCAAAGCAGTATATTTCTAGGATTGCGAAATATTCAAGAAAATCTGGAAATAAAATTGTTCTTCATCGTCCTCTCACGCCTCAACAGTACATTTTCGTGTAGAGGTAACTTGATTTCAATCGGCTATTTTGGTCTCGTTCACCCTGTAGAATTTATGGCACGTTGTTCTGGGACACCATGTATTTACTGATTTTTTTAATAGTACCCTGCCAATGTTCTATATCCTGATATGTATTATTTCCAGATCCCCAAAAATGACGAATTCATATTAAGCAGTTTGTCTGGATAAATACTGATAGCTTATTGATTTGAACAATTTTGATTCTTTGATAATAATAATAATGAAGTTACCAATGGCTGCCAACATTTTGGATAACACTCTGTATATCTATTATTTTCATTTTGCTCAAAGCTAAAAATGCAGGATAAAATAAGTCAGGAGTACATAAGAAATAACTATTTATTTCATTCTTCAAAATATACTATGGATCTTGAATCACAACATTTCTAACCTAAAATACTGTGAAAGTTTCGACAGGTTTGAACAATGAACAAGATAAACTCATGAATCAATTCCAGAATAAATAGAAAAATGTGCTATACTTAGACAAGTAGTAAGCATAACCTGGATTGAACCATTAAACTTGTACAAGACTATTCTTTCTCTACGACTATTACTGAAGAAATTCTTAGTCAGTCCATAATCTTAAATCTTGTATGTTGTATGTCCGAATACTTTCTTAACTGTTCTGGCTTCAAGTTTATGTCCGATAACGTACCTTCATATTCAAATTCTTTATCAGATTCGAAAAACTTCACACTAACTCAATAATGGGGTTGTACAAACTAGTCGAATTTACGCCACATACCTATTTAAAGGCTATATTCCGAATTCAACCTGTCAGTACTGTCAGTAGATCTAATGATTCTGCTGAAAAATCTATGTTCCGAAATGTAAAATACAGTGCTGTTATTCGAAACACATTTTCATCAGTAATCAGCATTCAGCAGCAGGGTCAGGTTAGATGTAGGTTGTCTGTAGTTTCTCGTTCATCTGGAAAATTATTTGAATAACAGGCATTTTCTGATATTAGGAATGATTTATTATTGATGAGACAATACTTAATTTAATATGTTGAATGAACAACGGAAATAAATGTGATACTCCTCCCCTCCTCCTGAAATGAGGACAGTTCACTGAAGCCACGCTAACTCCTGATATTCAGCAGTTTCAGCAGAATGTTGAGTCGAAATCAGTGATTTCAGTGATTTTTTTTATTGCGGAATGAAAATCAGCGGATGCAGTACTGTCAGTCGAATTCGAAATATAGCCTATATTGGTCATTCCGAGTATAAATAGCTCTAGATGACGTCATACACCTTTTCACGTGGCAATAGTGATATTTATTGATATATTCCTCTTTATTCCTCAACAAGCAATGCCAGCATAACCACATATTTCGACTAGTAACCACCTTATGAAATTCAATATGACCAATAACGACAATATTCCCATTTACTGAAAACAATGGTTCCACCTGGTCCCTGTCAATCCACTATTCAATACTTATACTTATATCCTGCAAGATGCTTCAGTGCCGATAAGAATATCCTAATATTCCTAATAATGATCCAGATATCATTCAAACCCAAACTATTTTGTGACCCAGGCAACAGCGTGATACTTAGGGTTCACAGAACGTCATCCTCGTATGTCATTTTCATCTTCAAAACCTATCATCTAGTCAAATCCAAGATCAAATCTAACATACTGTGAAAGATAATACTCATATCATCTGATTATTCAGTTGTGTGTTGTGTTCTCCCTTATCTGCAGTAAGTATTCTGTCCAGAAAATTCATTTCAAATCTTGAAGAAATGACAATCATAAATATTCTTGCAATTGTCTTACAGAAGTAAAGAATGGATAGGTAAGTCGAATCTTATATGGTTTCATTATATTGCTCACAGGTTTTCACGCGTTTTGCATCTCATGAAATATCGTGAATTTCAAGTATTATTTACAAAATTTACAGAACTCTGAGGAAAAAACTGTTTGTGGCAGTGAGCTAGTTGGGGCTATTACTTCGAAATTGTTACAAATTGTTCTAAAATTGTTCTAATCCATCATTAGGTTGCCCCCTTACGAGCAACCCTCAGAAATCTTCAAGAGACTTGTGCGAGCAATTAATGACGAGGGTCTTACCTTTTAACGTGTGATCCCAAACACTCAAGATAATGGAATACAATTTTTCACCGGAATATGCCCATTGAGATATAAGTACTCTAATAATTTGCGGTTGGCAATAGAGAAGGTGCATTCATAGAGTTCCGAATATATGGCATTTTTCCAAAGCTTCATCCATAGGTGAATAATTTGCATTTCACCAACTGATATGAGAATGGGCGTGTATACCTTAGTAGAACTTTTAACTCGAACCATGTTTATAATGATCCTTTTATACATAAATAATGATTGACGACATAATTCGATCAAAAAATTAACTGGAATTTTTTATTTTTGGACATAAAAAATAGTACCTTCTGAAACCGGACCCTCTTATGACGTAGAAACCTTATCTCGCCATAGTTGAAAGAAAATACCAAACGCCCGACGGAGACTGAGGCAACTGATATATTAGTTCTTTCAACTGTGATCTCGCGCTAATTCACTCTGTCAGAAATCATGTATCATTCATCTCTATCTGGAATAGTCTTGTTTCAGTATTCGTGATAGAAAATAACACGTCTCCCCATCTGACAACAACAACTGGAACACTTCTGAGCGGTTTGTTTTGATGCTTTGACCAATAAGCACAAACATAAAACAAGTGTGAACCAATGAAAACAAAGTAAGCAGACCGCTCTCACAGCTTTCAAGAACTTCAATAGGTGGCGTAGGCTTATTTTCTATCGCGAATTAAGGTTTTGACGTCACATCATCGCCTCGTTTTCAGAGGTCTGAAAAATCGGGGTTTTCAATAATTTTTTATAAAACATAGGGAGAGCAAGAAACGGTTTGCGGTGGTGAGCTAGGTTGGGTGAGTTCTATCGAATTATGAAATAAAAATGTTTTGTGATATAAGCCCATTGAACTGAACTGATTAAACATGAATTAAGTAATCTGAACTTACAAATATTGGCCATCCGATTCGAAAATTTCTGCAAAATATAATTCATTTGCATTTTTTGTGAATTTTGCAAATTACTACTTTTTTAAAATTGGAAAAATGGAGATGTATTACATGAAGGCATTTCATTCTAAACGGGTGAGGGCACTCAATTTATGGAATAAGTAATGGACAAATGGTGAAAAATATCAGAATTTGGTGAGAACTATATTTGTATATTTGACATTGACTTTGAACTTCAAAGATAATTCCAAGTTGAACTTTACTAGGATATTTAAAAAAATTATAATGCACACTTGAAGTGATGGAAATCCGTATACCATAAGGAAAATTGTTGTAAACTTCAATTTTATCGTTTTTGGAGCTAAATAGTTTTTCCAAATAAGTAGAATAATGATTTTGTGGACCATTCCAAAGTTTGAAAATTATATTCTGATGAGTATATTGAAATTCTGAATAGTATAGTATCAACAGTCGTAGAGAAACATTTATACAATATACATATTCATCTGAACTGAAGCATGTTTATATAAGTAGTATGCATATAAAGTAACTGGTAAAAGTGCACTTATCATGCGATGGGTTTTTTTCGAAAAAATTCTTGGTACTCACGTATTTTCGACTGAAAAAAAACGAATTTCACAATATTATGAACAAACCGCTATATTGGGATATTTTACAAAAAAAAATGCGAAATTTCACCATGTTTTGCCATCTTGGATATCCATTTTTACAACTATTGGTCCTTCTTTTTCCATAATTGTACACTTACTATAGTCACCTTGTACTTCAATAACACATTTTATTTCCAAAAATCAACAAGGAGTATGGTATATTGGGATTTTTTTCATATTTTAGTGAGGTAAATAAAGTTGCAAAGAATTCGAGAAACCAAACTATTATTTACTTCACTAAATATGATAAAATTCTAAACAAACCATACTTCTTGTTGATTTTAAGAAACAAAATGTGTTATTGAAGTACAACGTGAGTATATAAAGTGTCCAGTAATGCAAAGAGATGGACAAGTAGTTGTAAATGAATATCCCAGATAGGTTACAAAAGATTGTGAAATTTAGCTCTTTTTCATAAAATATCTCGATAAATAGGGATTTGTTCACATTTTCATTGTGAAATTCGTGTAATTCAAACAATAATACGTAAGTACCAAAAAAAAAATTTCGAAAAAGAACCCATCGCATGATAAGTGCACCTTTACCAAAGTGACTTTTACTTTGAACTTGTCAATAACTCCCTGTATAAGTACAATTCCCTATCCAAATTCACTCATTCTTACTACCCGGATCACAATAAATATCTGTCAAATTATCAGTAGAATCAAATGCATTTTGCCTAGACAATCGCCCCGAGCTTTGTGAACAACTATGAATGCTGAAATTGCTATTGCTACGTTCGAGCGAACCCAAATAGGCCAAAACGGAACTGCTGATGTCATCAGACATGGTCCGCTTTCTTTCCCCATGTTCTTCTGGAGTGTCTCCATGACTGCGATCTGCAGGTTGATTTTCGGTGAACACATTGTCGAGTAAAGTGGCAGTAGGACTGACTCCCGTCGTGTCAGTCAAATTCATCTCGCTTCTAGTGTACCTGTGAGACAAGACAAACCGATGATTTTCATCTGCCCAGATGTACTGTAAGTCCAGTGTTCGATGCTTTTGCGTGATATCTCAGTTATCTTTGGAGATAGAACCTTGCGGTTTCCGCGGTCCTGTGCCACTATTTTTGTGGAAATCAAGATGACCTAATCAGATTTTGAATAACTGTTTCCGTTTTTGAGATACAGGTCGATTTTTAAAATTTATACTTTTTGGACCCCCTGTATATCTACGAAGTTTTTCAGCGAAAATGTCAAATTAAAATCTTAGCCCACAGAATTTAACGCAGAATCCAGTGGCGCACTCAATTTTTTTTTCGGCTATGCTTTTATGATTTTTCAAATGGATCACCCTCTGTATTTTATCAGCTCATTTAATTCCTTATTTTTGTTCAAAATCACTAAAACATTGAATTTCAAACGGATTGAATGGATTTTTCACATAAAAAAGTTCCAATTGAAGGTATATTTTCTTTGATTTTTCCATGAAGAGGACAAAAACAATACCAACACTAATTAACTAACAAAACACAAAATTTAGTTACCTGATAGCAACAAATAAACAGTAACAAAAAGTTCATAATTCAGAATATTTGCTAAAACAACTGAATTGTTCAAATTGATGTCCATTTTCCCTCACACACTTTCTCAATACGTCTTATGCATTCAAAATATTTAAAGGTTGTCTTTGTAATTTCTGGAAAACTGCCTCTGTTGTTGCCCGAAGTTCTTCAAGACTGTTGTGCCTCTTACTATATAAAGACGGATTGACAAATTGTTAATTGTGTGTTATGGAAAATGGACATCAATTTGAACAATTGAATGAATAAGTTACTGAATAATTTCGAAATTCAATTGTTTTAGTAAATATTTAATCAGGTGTTTATTCTACATTATTAACTTTTTATTACTATTTATTTGTAGCTTTCAGGTACCTAACTTTTGTGTTTTGTTAGTTAATTAGTGTTGATATTGTTTTTATCCTCTTCATGGAGAAATCGATAGAAATATTTCTCCAATCAGAACTTTTTTATATGAAAAATCGATAGCCCACTATGAAAATTCATTGTTTCAGTGATTTTTGAGCATTTTTGAAAATTTTACATCTATACATCATATACTATTTTGAAGGAAAAAAATTGATTTAATGAGCTTATAAAATTGAGTGCGCCACTGGATTCTGCGTGAAATTCTCTATGGGATGAGATTTCAATTTGTCATTTTTGCTAAGAAACTTCGTAGATATAGAGGGGGTTCAAATAGTATAATTTTCAAAATCGCCCTGTATCTCATAAACGGAAACAGTTATGCAAAATCTGATCTTGAGTTTCAAAAGGTTTTATCTTCAAAGATAATTGAGATATCACACAAAAGCATCGAAAACTGGACACACTGTACAGGATTATCCATCGAAAAGGCCCACCCTAAACTTTATTTTTTCATGGAGGAAAAAAAGCAAAATGCGGAAGTTGAATGCCGCAATGTGGCCTTTCCACAGTTTTTATCAGAAGTTTACAGGGAGGTTCCTAAAAGCAGGAGAAACCGCAAATATTTTTTTTTGTAAATGGTACACTGTTTTTTATATTTTTTTCGTAATCTGTAAATTTTTGTGATCACAAATATATACAGAGTGACCCATTTGAAACAAGGCCACCCTCATAATGTTTTTATTCATGGAGCTATTTTCACGATTTTTTTCAATGAAATGTAGAGGGGGAAAAGGTGTATTTCGCAGTAATATGGGAATACAATATCTCACAAACAGGTTGAAAGCACGGCACTATTCAACAGCATGTTCATCTCTGAAAATTGATCATATTGACGGTTATTCATACCGGTCCAAATATAATACAGATCGCACCACTAATAGCTGAGATATAGAAGATTCGTTAATGTTGAATATTTTTTCATGAAACTTGGTGAACGCGGATTGTTTTGTAAAAAAATTGCTAATATGGATTGTGGATTTTTAAGCCCCTAAATGTAATCTACAAAGCCTTGTTTTTTTTAATGAACGACGCTTTGCTCCAAAATACACTTCTATTTCCACTTCTTTATCACCACTCTTCTGAGCCTAGAAAAACAAATTGTGTCAGATCAATTGGTGATCACTCGATTAGATAGGCAATGTATTCCATAATGAAGCAATATACAACTGTCAAAAATATCCTCCATTTAAAAAAAAAATTGTGGTTTGTCACGTTTTCAGGGATCACCCTGTAGCACTTTTGATAAGGGCTGTGGAAAGGCCTCAATTCGCTCATTGCGGCGCGTGCGCCTTTTCGATGAATAACCCTTTACTTTAGCCAGATCAATGAAAGGTTCGAATCAGTTCAATAAGTTACCTCAGGACAAAAAAAAAGGATATATTTTCATATTTTCAAATATCAACTGAAGAATTATATGAAAACCAATAATATATTGAAAAAATAACCCTATTTTTGTTTTCTTCAATTAATTAGTATTATTACCATGTTTGAAGTAGTTAACCATAGACATTACTTTAACTCAATTTTTTATCTACTTCTACAATCTACAGTAACTTCATCACCTAATAACTTGGTTAATTTATTATTGTTGTAAGTATATTAGGATGATTCCTATTAAATAATTCATTAATTCATTCACCTATTCGGAACAATCTCAGGCGACAAGCTGTTTTGCGAATTTGGAGATATCGGGAAACTGCGGGAGCTTAACGTTCTGATTTCTGAACTTTGACCTGATTTTGTGGGTGTCGACACTTCCGACACCAAGGGAGTGCTTTCGTTATCACTGGTTTCGTTTAATTCTGGGCTCGAGTGGAGGAGTTTTTCTTTGTATTTGTGTAACTTCACAAAGCCTCGCTTCTCTTTGTCCTTCTTTTCCTCCTTCTGGCTATTATCTATTGACCTGGATCTTGTACGTAATGATGGTCTGAGTGGTTTCGACTCAGGTTTCGATAAATTCAAAGAACTTGGTCTGGATTTTGTCTGTGATGATGTGTGTTTGTATTCGTGTAGCAGAGGGGTTTTGTTCGACATTTGGGGCTCGTATGAAACTGTTGAAGTGTTCGTACTGATGCTTATACGAGGTGTTGGGTCCGAATAGTCGGTTTTTATTATGACATGTCGACCTTTACTCGGTACATCTGCAGATTTTAGGTTGGAATGCTTGCTGCTAGAGGTGGACAATTTTCTTTCTGGAACTAAAATTGAAAATTGGCATGAATTTATTTTGTATATTGTGCCTATATTTTTGTTTTCACATACCTACCAACATATGATCAGAATTTGGCTGAGTAAATGACCCGTTAACCATGTACTTATTTTTAGGTGGTGGATAAAAACGTTAAATAACAGAATGGGTTCAAAAAAGTAGGAACAGGGTTGTTTTGGAAAATGTAATACCTATACCAGCAAATGTGGACACGAAAAAAATAAAATCATATCCTATAGCTCTTGAACAAAATGATATGTTGAAATTACCTAACATAACCTAACCTATACTGATAACTTTTAAATATTTTCCCGATATCACATAGCCTAACATCAAAGTGTACCAAATGACCAATCTTGTAGCATCTAACTATTATTGGAGATAACAATACTTTCAATATGTAAACGATGGAAAATTTCGATTCGAATTGAAAAAACTATTGAAAAATGTTGGCAGTTCATTAAAGGTTAAATATTTTCGTGATAATTTCACATGATTCGGATGCGGGTTTATTTGTTTTGCAGATAAATCGATCTGCTATATAGATAGCTGATGAAAAATTATGGTGAAATCTTTACAGGGTGAATAACAAACATCTGCAATATCTTGAAGGATTCCTCAAACTCCTGAATGAGGGCTAACATTTTCAAGTCGGCGCCACTGAAATGTCAGTAAAAAATCGCAAAATTTGGCCGAATGGCTCCAAATTTCCAATATATGCGAATCCAGGTTGCACTCCAATATTCAGGAGATAACATGTCCTCAAAAAAAACGTACAAATTGCACTTAGTATTTTTGACGAAAATGTTTCCTAAACTTTTGGATGCTTTTTGGTGGTGCGTCAATTTTTTTGGGAGGTGTACTTATCATTTCTTTTTATAGAGGGTGATTCAAAATTTAATGTGAATATTTTAAGAACGTATTGTTGAGATCAAAATAAGACTTTTTCTTCGTATGCGTGTCCCAAAATGCACACCCTCTAAGCTATAGCAACTGTGAGTTGGGTAATGATAACGAATCAAATCGTCTAAAAATTTGCATGCCCCTGTTTTTCGGGCACTTTTCTTCTTTCTTGTTTCAAAAATCATGTTAACCCAGTTTTATAAGAGTCGGAGGGAATTCCACACTTTTATAGGGTGAATTTTAGCACACATGTTTATATAAAGAAAAAGTCTTATTTTGATCCCAACAATATGTCCTTGAAATATTTACATCGAATTTTGAATCCATGAAGTCACGGAGCAATCAGTGGGTGTGTTCAACATGATGACCAGTTTGAGCTTTTGCGTTTTTTTCACAGCACAAATTACAATCACATAATTTCATAACAATGTTGCCAGTAGTCTAGAAATGATCGTGAAAAATTGTTTGTCCAACTTCTTATTGTATCTTGACGGGTGGCTTTACAAACATTTTTTACTGAACCAACTAAACCCATTTTGCAGTGTTCTACTTGTACTAGCAATGGGGCCACCTTTTCTCGAAACACCAATGGAATGGACCTTATTAGGCCAGGATAGTTAGAGCTCTAGGCCCTAAAAATTGCTCGAGAGCTGGAAATTGTTCCAATCCCTTTTGGAGGTCCTGAATAACAGTTATATGAGTTTGCGCCGGGTTCTAGGTTATGCTTTAGATTTGAGAGCCTGAAAAGAGCTGAATTTTCGTTTTTTTTTTAGTTTTTTATTGGTGTCATTCGATAGTATACGTAGAGTTTCTTCAGGCTTTGAAATATTTGCACTTATTTCAATGCCATCCATACACTGTTGATGGTTTTTATTGTGCTGTATGTGCCGAAAACTAAGCCAATAACATACCGTATCCAAGAAAGAACTCCAAGTCCTTTTATCTTCCATTCGACTTCGCGGTTACGTAAATTACTAAATAACCACTAAATTCGCAATTTTAGATGATTTAAATCACAGAATTAGACTGACAGATATTTGATATTTCAAAATAATGATAAAGATGCCTGCAAGAAGATGCCTGCAAAAAGATGCATGCAACACAGGTGTCATTCCTGTTAAAAACTTCAACTTTCACGTCGATAATTTTCGGATTTTTATATAATGTAATATATTCGCAATATTGATTCGTTCTTTTTTCCTCTCACAGGAAAAAATAGTGTAATATACACGAGAAGAATATTAGATTTTATCTACCGGTTTTTTGGAGCCAGATTATACTACTTTTTGCCCTTGTATAATAGATAACTATTTCTTCTATTAGTGCGGCAGTTAAGCAATGAATTGTTGACTTTTTGATAAAGACACCAAATTTGGCACAGAGGTAGACTGATATAATATAATGAACAAGTTTGGATGTGGAGCCATCGGCCAATTGCCTCCTGGTAGCCGTGGTGGCCATATTCCAAAATGGTCGCCAGAGTGGACACCCGTTCGAAACACATCAGAAGTTAGATAAACTTTGCTGCTGAAAGTTTGTGAATGTTTATTAAATGTTTTGAATGAAATCATACCTTTTTGTGAGATATATACCAGGTGTCCACGTAGTGTGGAAAAGCTTTGTAGGTCAATTTTGATAAGAGATGGAGAAAATATATTTAATTTCTACTGGAAGTTTTTGAAACGCGGGGCTGCAAGATTGATGTTTTTTTAAATGGAACATCTTCATCCGCCTTATTTGATACGCCTTCTAGTCGTAAGATATAAATAAATATGAGTTCTGTGGTACAAACCTATCGAAACATCACTGTGTCCATATTTGCTGCTACACCCATAACTATATAGCTACTTACTTGGTGAGGGGGGCTGAGAGCTGCACCTCGAACTCTGATCGCTCAGACTCTCAGAATGGCCAACGCCTATGCTGACAGGCTGCCAGTGCATGTGACCTACAGGCGAGGATTGCAACAAAACAAAATCGGTCTCGCCTACTGCGCCACTCGAGCTGTTGGTGCGAGAGCGATAGCCTCGCGGCGCATCTGTACAAAACAAGCACAAGCTTCAGGCTGGGTAGTCGTGGTTCAGGCAAAATAGAGTGATTTGTGGGTGAGTTGCACCAAATAACACCAAAAACATGCATTTATGCAAGATGATTTTGAAAAGAATGGTATGTTTTGCGAGACTGACTGACTGACTGAAGCGGGGGATCAGAAGAACAGAGATTTTTGGTGGGTTGTGAATTATTTTCCATTTTAGCTTTAAAGGACTATCAAAGAGCCCCCGTCCCTCAATAAGAGACCAGTTTCTATTCAAAAGTCACCGTGTATGTCAATTTTTTCACCACTAGCTATAGAACCTACCATTATTTACTTCTTTTGAAGGCGTAAGGTGTGTTTTAACTACAAAGGAAGTTTTCGTCATTTTATGAACTAGTCAATAGAGACATATCGATCTCTTGTTTATTAACCCGAATTCACTGTTCTGATGCCATATTCACAGGAATGGCAGTCGAATCTAGTAAGTATTCATCAATAACGACTTGTGATATACTGTCATGGTGACTAGATTTTAATTAGAATTGAAAATAAGTGCTTTCATAGTGACATAGGTCCACATTTCAGTTTCACAAAACTATAATGATTGGAATATATTGCTAGTGGCCTCTGGCCCGAGGGACAGCAATTGCCAGAGGTTATTAAGGCTCTATAATTCCCGTGGTACATAGATAATTTTATTTCTGACCGATTTTCATAACAATATGTCCATATTTAGAACGCAATAAATGTTTAAATTCATAACCTTTCTGGTATATTTGAATTAGGTAGCGTTGATTGTAGCATTGTTGGTTGTTGCTAGGTTGTCGATATGTTACATGTTTATTTTTTTTTAAGCGGCGGAAGTAATTTTCAGGGAACATTTGAAAATTGTACATTTATTATTTGTAATGACGTGAATAAGGGAAATATATGTCTTAGTTTTCATCACATATAAACGTTCATAAGCATTTCTTGTATCATTTTCACCTGTAAAAGGTAAGAGGGAGTTTTTGAACCTTAATATCCCAAGGGAGTTATGACCCTCATTATAGATATCGTAACTATGAAGATATAAGCTTCATACCCCTCGGCTGAGGCCTTGGGATATAATCTTGGTCCCTAGGTAATATACACCTTGGTAGTCAAGAATATTATCACCACGGGACCTCATACCCCTCGGCTGAGGCCCTGGGATATAATCTTGGTCCCTAGGTAATAATGATATTCTTTACTACCTTGGTGTATAAATAACTATTTTCCACTACTAGCTATAAAACCTACCATTATTTACTCCTTTTCGAGGCGTAAAGTGTATTTTTACCACCAAAGTAGTTTTCGTCAATTTATGAACCACTAGTCAATAATGACATAGCCACTTCTGTTATAATAAACACGATTTCACTGTTCTGATGCGAGATTCGTAGAAATGGCACTCGAATCTAGTATAGGTATTCATCAATAATGACTTATTGTCATATGCTGTCATGGTCTTGGCTACTAGATTTGAATTTGAATTGATATAAAGTGCTTTCATAGTGACAATAGGTTCATATTTCAGATTTACATACTAAAATGATTGAAATGTATTGTTAGTGATGAGATAAATCTAATATACTTACACCTTGGTAGTAATAGTTATTTATTATACAAGGGAAAAAAAGTAGTAGATTTTATCTCCAGGTTGTGTTGTGTGACAAAAAACCGTGAGCTAAAATCTAATATTTTTCCCGTGAATAATACACTATTTTTTTCTGTGACAGAAGAAAGGACGAATCAATATTGAGAGGTTATTACATTATTTTGAAATCGGAGAATTATCGACGTGAAATTTTAAGTTTTTAACAATATAGGGACACCTGCGTTGTAGGCATCTTTATCATTCTTTTGAAGTAATCAAATATCTGATGTCACTTCTGTCAGTCTAATTCTGTGATGTGATTTAAAAAAATTGTGAATTTAGTGGTTGTTTAGTAATATACGTAACCGCGAAGTCGAATGGAAGATAAAAGGACTTGCAGTTCTTTCTCGGAGACGGTATTATTGACTCATTTTTCGGAACTACAGCACAACAAAAACCACCAACGGTGTATATATATGTGATATATATCCAGGAAAAAATTACTTACTTTTATCCCACGGGAAAAAAATGATTTATGAAAAGTGACATTTTATAACCTGCCAACAGAGATGAAATGCCAAACTTTTTTCCCGTCACAGAAAAAAAGAATATAATTACCACGGGACCTGAAGCCTCGGGACATATAATTTTGGTCCCTGGGTAATACTGATATTCTTCACTACCTTGGTGTATAAATAACTATTTTGGATAGCGAATTCGACATACTGCACTAGTGATCATTCAATTCCAAGTTCTGTTGTGCGCGTTTGCTCGGATAATTTTGCACTCATAATGCGATGGGTATTTTTTCGAAAAGAAATGTTTGTTATACCTACGTATTTTTGTCTGAAGAAAACGAATATAATGATGAAATTGTGAACAAACCACTATTTATCAAGATATTTGACGAAAAAGTTCGAAATTTCACCTTATTTTTCGCCTGGCTTGGATACGCATTTATAGTACCATTTGTACCATGAAAATCAACTAGAAATATGATTTTCTTCCGATTTTTCCATATTTAAGATGAATACAGTGTTCACAGAATACGTAGAATAATTTATAACATTGTTAACAAACAGAATTGTTTATGATACCCATGCACGAGAACGAATATTATTCTAGTAATAAAAGCAATATACGAATTATTAAGCAAATATCAACATATCCCGCATTTATAGAGTATGAACTAGGTAGATAAATGTTCTGGAGACTGTGCATATTTGAATAATCGAATACAAAAGTTACACCCATAATTCCACAATATAATTTAGAAAAGCCTAAATATGAATTTTGGCAACCAAGTTTCTTTTCAATTCTACTGAGTGTAGGCCATTGGGGATATTTTCCGTTAAAAAGTAACTGGACTTTATTTACATAATTCACCTAATTGAGGGGACCAAGTACTTTTCATTAAATGTATCGTTAGTACATGTATATACAACGGTGATACCAGCGAAGTAATGAAATACAAAGTACGTGTTTATATGCAGGTACTACGTCGGAGCGGCAGTTAATGACCGGCGATATGTGCGAGACGTTGTTTATTTCTTTGCTATTCACCGACAGAAAGTATGGATTCAACGTGAAAATGCAAAATATGTGAAGCTACGCTACTCAAGATCGAAGATGTTGAATCGAAGATACCATGTTTTTGTGCTGGTTAAAGGGTAGAATGTTGTATCGGCTACAAAACAGGTTCATCAATTTGGTAGGTACCTATACAAACACAGTGCATATTTAATCATTCATTTATTATGATAGAATTGACGAAAATTACACAACCTAACCAGATATAATATGTCTGGTTAGGTTATATGTAATTATACGATATTATCGTACAGCTGGTCTATCTATATCAGACCTCTCATTTATTCTAGGCGGAAGATAAAGTGTGTTACAATTTGCTTCACGCCACCCCTGTACTTCGTATTCCTAAGACGATTTAAGATTATTTTTCTCATACGATACTACTCGAAATTGTCTACTTTGTCAAGCAGAACAAAATTATCAATCACGATTTCTTATCCTACTGCGATCACAAAAACTCCAGCAAAATCAAAGAAAACGGATTAGGCATTTTTTTCAAAAAATGTCGATAATGACAATCGATTCGTGCTAGCTACAGATACTGCTATATGAATTTTCAGAACAATATCTCATGAGGTGTGTTTTTTATCAGGTACAGTTACAATTTTTGAATAATTACAATTTTCATGTCACACCGTGTATAATTTTCAAGAATTTGAATATTACCAGCATTAGATCATCTGGCTACAGAGTGAGAAATTCAGGCCAAGAAATGGAGGATAGTTGCGACGATGAATACAAATAGTTTGAAGAGGGATACCACCACAAGAACTGAAGGGAGTTGAAAATAACGTGCGAGAGATATTGTGATAAGTGTACAGAGAATGAAGGATTTGATCGAGAATACAAAAATTTTAACTGGTTAGGAATGGTTGCTGTTTTAGTTTTTTTTTTCTAATATTTTTATATTATTTTTTTATTGGTATTATTTAGTTTTTTGTTCTTTCTTGATTTCTTGATAGAAAATTCAAATTTCTAGTGATTTTATTCGCTATTTATTACACTCTGTAAACAGATGATCTAATCCTGACCGCACCATCATGCCTGGTATCATTAAAATTCTTTTGAGAATTATTATACACGGTGACTTACAAAATGCAATTATCCTAAAATTGTTAAGCTGATAAAAAGCACCCCTGATGAGATATTGCTTTCTAAATGGATACAGGATAGCCAGTCCGAATCGATTGCAATTATCAAAATTTTTGTAAATACATGCCTTATCAGTTTTCTTTGATTTTGCCGAAGTTTTTGTGATCGCAGTAGGCCAAGAAATTGTGTTTGATAATTCTGAGTAGTATATTATGAGGGAAAAAAATCAATTTGCCCTAGGAATACGAAAGTACAGAGGTATGGTGGACCAAATTGTAACACACTGTATATGTTGGGTCTCATATTATATTATGTTCAAGACCTTATCAATTGCAAACAAAAACTCAAACATTTTGCTTATAATAGCAAATAGCAGTGAAGTGATAAACTTGAACCATATTAATATCGACGCTCAAACACGAAAGCATCGAGGTGACCAACGCCAACTAAACTATATAGAAGGAATCGAATGATGGAACGTTATTTCAATGTTTATCGCGTAAGAGGCGATGATGAGTAATATTACCAACTCGTACATGTCCCGAGATATCGAATTTTCAACTCAGAGGATGACATATTTTTTGATAATTTAGACAAGAATGAACTATGATGATATTTCCCTGAGCGGGGATAAAATATCATTTTTCTACGACTATGAAACAAAATTCCTCTTGTTTTACTGGGTTCAATAAACCAATAAGTA